CCCTCAATGTAAATGGGATTGCAAGTGTTGCTGGTGGATGAGTTGCCAATGGAATTCCATTGTGCTTTGCAACTGTAGGATCGTTCCCGCAATGTAAATGGCTGTGTCAAGGTTGCTTCGTGCTGTGGCTGCATTGGTAATACTATTGTCTTTTGCAGCTCGACTTCGTAAATCGTATTGGAGTGGCTGCATGAAGGCTGCGACAGTGATTTGTCAGCAGATTTTCTCCATTTTGGCGCTGGTGATTTTCCTTCTAAAAATTCTTTTAAAAAGTGCTTCAAAATCGTCTTTTTTTCGCTCTGGCGTCGAGATCCGGTTTTGGAGCTACAATTTCCGACGCCGTTGTGCGTAGTTCTATTGTGTTTTGCAACTCAGTCTCTGCAGATTGCATTGTAGTGGCTGCGTCAAGGTTGCTTCGTGATGTGGCTGCGTTCGTAATACTATTGTCTTTTGCAGCTAGACTTCGTAAATCGTATTGGAGTGGCTGCATGAAGGCTGCGACACTGATTTGTCAGTAGATTTTCTCCATTTTGGCGCTAGTGATTTTCTTTTTAAAAATCCTTTTAAAAAGTGTTTCAAAATCGTTTTTTTTTCGCTCTGGCGTCGAGATCCATCCGGTTTTGGAGCTACAATTTCCGACGCCGTTGTGCGTAGTTCTATTGTGTTTTGCAACTCAGTCTCTGCAGATCGCATTGTAATGGCTGCGTCAAGGTTGCTTCGTGCTGTGGCTGCATTCGTAATACTATTGCCTTTTGCAGCTCGACTTCGTAAATCGTATTGGAGTGGCTGCATGAAGGCTGCGACAGTGATTTGTCAGCAGATTTTCTCCATTTTGGCGCTAGTGATTTTCCTTCTAAAAATCCTTTTAAAAAGTGCTTCAAAATCGTCTTTTTTTCGCTGTGGCGTCGAGATCCGATTTTGGAGCTACAATTTCCGACGCCGTTGCGCGTAGTTCTATTGTGTTTTGCAACTCAGTCTCTGCAGATCGCATTGTATTGGCTGCGTCAAGGTTGCTTCGTGCTGTGGCTGCATTCGTAATACTATTGTCTTTTGCAGCTCGACTTCGTAAATCGTATTGGAGTGGCTGCATGAAGGCTGCGACAGTGATTTGTCAGCAGATTTTCTCCATTTTGGCGCTAGTGATTTTCCTTCTAAAAATTCTTTTAAAAAGTGCTTCAAAATCGTCTTTTTTTCGCTGTGGCGTCGAGATCCGATTTTGGAGCTACAATTTCCGACGCCGTTGTGCGTAATTCTATTGTGTTTTGCAGCTCAGTCTCTGCAGATCGCATTGTAATGGCTGCGTCAAGGTTGCTGCGTGCTGTGGCTGCATTCGTAATACTATTGTCTTTTGCAGCTGGATCTCGTAAATCGTATTGGAGTGGCTGCATGAAGGCTGCGACATGGATTTGTTAGCAAATTTTCTCCATTTTGGCGCTAGTGATTTTCCTTCTAAAAATCCTTTTAAAAAGTGTTTCAAAATCGTTTTTTTTTCGCTCTGGCGTCGAGATCCGATTTTGGAGCTACAATTTCCGACGCCGTTGCGCGTAGTTCTATTGTGTTTTGGAACTCAATCTCTGCAGATCGCATTGTAATGGCTGCGTCAAGGTTGCTGCGTGCTGTGGCTGCATTCGTACGTTGCAGTCGCCCCCGGAGGTTATGGAGGGAAATGTGTTGGGAAAGTTAAAAAGCGAGTGGGCAAAAAAAATAAAAGGAGAAGTAACGACGTAAGGGCAAGAGAAAGAAAATAGGGTAGTCTTGAAAAACTGTGACAGTAGAGAGATCTATTAGGGGAAAGAGTAAACAGAAAGTGAACAGGTATGCCGGGAGAATCTAAATAGAGCAAGGGATGGGAATAAACGCCTGTCTAGAAACCTACTATTGTCTTTTGCAGCTGGATCTCGTAAATCGTATTGGAGTCGCTGCATGAAGGCTGCGACATGGATTTGTTAGCAAATTTTCTCCATTTTGGCGCTAGCGATTTTCCTTCTAAAAATCCTTTTAAAAAGTGCTTCAAAATCGTCTTTTTTTCGCTGTGGCGTCGAGATCCCGATTTTGGAGCTACAATTTCTGACGCCGTTGCGCGTACTTATATATTGTGTTTTGCAACTCAGTCTCTGCAGATCGCATTGTAATGGCTGCGTCAAGGTTGCTGCGTGCTGTGGCTGCATTCGTCTTACTATTGTCTTTTGCAGCTGGATCTCGTAAATCGTATTGGAGTGGCTGCATGAAGGCTGCGTAATGGCTGCGAAATTTTCTCCATTTTGGCACTAGTGTTTTTTTGTTGGACGTACGTTTAGAGCAGTGTGAAGTGTGGGGCGTGAAGAGTGCAGTGTGAAGTGTGAAGTGTGAAGGAAGCAGTGGGAAGTGGGAAGTGTGAAGTGTGGAGTGTGAAGTTTCAGTTTGGAGTGCGAAGAGCGCAGTGTGAAGTGTGAAGTGTGAGGTTTGGAGTGTGAAGGAAGCAGTGAGAAGTGAGAAGTGTGAAGTGTGAAGTGTGAGTGGAGTGTGGAGTGTGAAGTGCGAAGTGAGAAGTGTGAAGTTTGGAGTGTGAAGTTTGGAGTGGGAAGGAAGCAGTGAGAAGTGAGAAGTGTGAAGTGTGGACTGTGAAGTTTGGAGTGTGAAGGAAGCAGTGAGAAGTGAGAAGTGTGAAGTGCGAAGTGTGAAGTGTGGACTGCGAAGTGTGGAGTGCGAAGAGCGCAGTGTGAAGTGTGAAGTATGGAGTGTGAGGTTTGGAGTGTGAAGGAAGCAGTGAGAAGTGTGAAGTGTGGATTGTGAAGTGTGAAGTGTGAGTGAAGTGTGGAGTGCGAAGTGAGAAGTGTGAAGTGTGAGTTTTGGAGTGTGAAGTTTGGAGTGGGAAGGAAGCAGTGAGAAGTGAGAAGTGTGAAGTGTGGACTGTGAAATGTGGAGTGTGAAGTGCGAAGTGAGAAGTGTGAAGTTTGGAGTGTGAAGGAAGCAGTGAGAAGTGAGAAGTGTGAAGTGAGAAGTGTGAAGTGTGGACTGTGAAGTGTGGAGTGTGAAGTGCGAAGTGAGAAGTGTGAAGTTTGGAGTGTGAAGTGTGAAGGAAGCAGTGAGAAGTGAGAAGTGTGAAGTGTGGACTGTGAAGTGTGGAGTGTGAAGTGCGAAGTGAGAAGTGTGGACTGTGAAGTGTGAAGTGTGGACTGTGAAGTGTGAAGTGTGAAGTGTGGACTGTGAAGTGTGAAGTGTGCAGTGTGAAGTGTGGAGTGTGAAGTGTGAAGTTTGGAGTGCGAAGAGTGCAGTGTGCAGTGTGAGGTGTGAGGTGTGAGGTGTGGAGTGTCGAGGGAAGGACACGGTCGGGACAGGTTGTCTTTGAACTATAGGTCATTTATGTTTGGGAAACTTCCGCCGCCGGCTTGCCCGGGTCTATGTTAAACATGTATGAAAATGGACATCCGGTGTGCTTAAGCCAGTCAATTGCCATACCCATGTATATACTACTCTCAGGGATAATCCAGGCATAGCAACTGGAAGGTTTGCTCGGTCTGCGCTAGTATGGGTAGCACAACTACGCCATCTCCTGATCATATAGGGGTTTCCATAAATGGGGGTAATTACCCCAAAATGAATGGTTTACCATGAAAAACCCACCCAAACAATGGATGATTTGGGGTTACACCCATTTGAGGAAACCTCTATATCATAATCAGACTTCCAACATGTTGGCCCCGAAATGAACCGATCCTATTTAAGGTTACACTGACAAAGGAGAAATGCAGCCTATTGTGCGAAGATTGGGGCCTAATAATACCCATCGTGAGAAAAGATATCATCGTGACCAAAAGCACAGAAAACATCAGGAATTAATAACATCTACCAATTTGGGGTTGGTTTATATGATCCCATGTCTGGTAAAATGGGGGATGCTTTATCATTAAGCAAACCACATGAGATTGTTGAGCATGAATCGCGAATAAATTTGCCAAAAGGCCAGCATCAATAAAAAAGGGGCAATCATCTGGTGTTGAGCACCTACTGACCACATGTATATGCATAGACCGTACTACCGTGCCGTACTACATGTATATACATAGATAGTTTTACCTTGGCTGAGAATATCTTATCTTTGTACAGCTTCGTGGGCCCAATGGGATCTATCCCACTCGACATGCACCAATTCAGACTGGAAATCGTCCTGTCAAGTAGGAATGAACATCAAACATGTGGAACAACAAACCAAACCATCCACATCCACATGTCAGGAGAGATCTGTGGCTAAAAAAAACTTCAACCATCTTCAACCTAGAGTGTTTGGCAAGATGTTGATTTTAAAGAGGATGAAGTTTCGCTGTTCGCTTCGATTTCCAGCATGTTTGTTGGTCACCCCCCCTTCGCCCGCCTGTGGTGATAGTCCAGACGGGGATGCAGCGGGCGTCCTCCATGGGACCCAGACTGGACCACCCTTGAAAGCCAACTGCCCTTTAAAATCACGGGATGCAATATGGGATGGAAAAAATATAAGATTTAGGAAGATTTCATTGAGATTTTGGGTGGAATGTACGGGAAGTGCCTTCCGGTAATCTCACAATGTGCTGTGGAAAGCCTACATTGTTTAGTCGGTGATGGTAAATGATTTGCGAACCCACCATGTTCCTTTTCAGATTATATAAAGCTGGTTAGGTTACACATATCCCCCATTGATGTCACAAAAGATGTGAGAGCACCCACTCCTTGGAGGAAAAATGTCTGAACCGGTCACTGCAAATTGGAACACACCTGTCATACTAGTGACAATCAAATAGTCCTGAGGCACACGTCCACATGCTGCATTTATTTTCAGTCAACAACATGTTTATGCATATGCTTTTACATGTCTATATATATATATGTGCATAACACACATACATATATATATATATATATGTGCATAGTTCATACATGTCATAAACAAACTAGGCTACCATGCAATCAGCCTGTTTCCCCACCAAGCCGCGACCGTGTGCGGCCATTAAGCCTTGCGCAACCCGCACCTGGAACTAGCGGAAGGACTACAGCCTTGGTCTTCCATCCATCTCTCTCTCTCTCTCTCTCTCCCTCCATCAGGTGCTAGTGCAAGATCTTGCATGAAACACATTGATGAATGTGTATATATATATATATATAGTATGTGTTTGTGCGATATATATATAAATATACATAATAGAGAGAGAGAGACGTTTTTGCGTGTGTGGGTGTGTCAGTGAGTATGTTATCTATATATATATATATATGTGTGTGTGGCAATCATGATGACTATCTACGGATATACCTCTTCCTCTAAAAGCAAAGGGGCTACCGAAGTGCTGCCGGAGAAAATTGTTCTGTCGAAGGTCCTTCCCAGCTTTTTTTCAGTCTGGAGGATTCCTGGGAAACTTTTACATTCCCATTCAGCCCATTCAGGAATAAAAACAAAAAACACGTAACCAAAAGGCCTATCTAAACCTCTATCTGGAAAAGTTATGTCATGATAATTCTCCAAGCTACTTGGTGGTTTTCACTACCCACGAATCCTAAGTAGGTGAAATATCCCTGGTTTTGTTGGAGTAGCTTTAATCCACGAATCCAACTGGGGTGAACTAACCTACTTACGATTCGTGCGATGAACCGCCGGGAACTCGATTTCCATCGGCTCCGGCTCGCAAATGAAGCAGACGTTGCTGCTTCCTGGCGCCAAACAAGGGGATATATCACTTAAATGAGGTTAGCCAGTTATAACTAATAAGGGCAATAACATGCTATAACTGTACACCAAAATAGGGACAAAAGTAGGTTTTCTATATTCTTCAGGGGTGCTGCACATGGTTCTGAAATACACGTTCTGTCTTACAAGTGTATCCTTGTGTTCTTAAGCGCTTGTCCCGCGCCATGCTTTCTTCCTGTCTTCTTTGCCTGGTCCATCTATGATCATGCAATTTCATCTCCTCTTGTTGTGGTACAGCTCTAAAACATGATACGAAGTGGAAGTGGAACCGCCATTTGGCGAGTCAAAATTGTCATACAAAAATCAGCATCAACAATCATCATGTAAACCTTCCAGAATCCAGGTTAATCTGAAATATACAGCATTGTTTATGTTCGACCATGTATGGCCAATCATTCGCGCATTTTTTTACATGCAAAACTATCAGCCCAGCTTTACCCTTGAGCAAATTCCAACTTCAACAGATAATTATGGATAGTCCACCATTGATATCTCAAATTTCTAGGGAAACTATGATTATGTTATGTTATTTTCACAATTTTCCAGGGCAACTACGGGGTTTTCCATGGGTTTTCCATATCGTTTTGTTCCTTTGAGCCTCAAATCTTTCCAACAAAAACCAACGTCCCGTCCATCACCTGCTGCATCGGCTCAGCTCCAAAGGTTGCCTAGCCACTGGGAGTCCCGGCGCCGTGGCAAATCTTTAAATTCGTATATACAATATATATCATTGATACCATCTTATAACCCAGATTAATCATTGTACCGTCTTATACGGCATTTTTTCTTGTAGCTGGAAACGGCCATGATAAGTATATATCATTCCCAATATATGGAAACATAGAAAAATGTTCCAAACCACCAACCAGTTATATATCATACCCTCTGGTAAACTAATATACTGTAGCTATTGAACATGGCCAGTTAGAAATAGTGATTTGCCCATTCATAATGGTGATTTTCCAGGGTTGCCATAGTTATGTCAGTTTACCAGAGGGTAACCTCCATGAACTATAGATATGTTTACTATATATTATGATTTGCCAAAGTAGGTGTAATGCACTTTTTGTTCTGTATGGAATGTAGGGTACATACAGTGTCTGGGTACGGTTAAATGATGGTACGGGACGGTGGTACGATGGAAGTGGTTCGGTTAAATGATGGTACGGTACGGCGGTACGATGGAAGTAGTACGGTTAAATGATGGTACGGTACGGTGGTGCGATGGAAGTGGTACGGTTAAATGATGGTACGGTACGGTGGTGCGATGGAAGTGGTACGGTTAAATGATGGTACGGTACGGTGGTGCGATGGAAGTGGTACGGTTAAATGATGGTACGGTACGGTGGTGCGATGGAAGTGGCACTGTCAAATGATGGTAAGGTGGTACAGTGGTGGTGGTTCAGTGTTATCTGGTACAGTACGGTGGCATGGTGCGATTGAATGTTGGTATGGTAAATTGGTGCGATACAGTGGTGCAGTGAGTCGTTTGTGTTGCGGGATGAGATGCTGGTGCGGTACGGTGTTTTTGCGATGTGTTGGTAAGGCACGCGGGTGAGATAAGATGCTGGTACGCTATGGTGATGTAGCATGATGTGGCATGTTGGTGCGACGGAATGTTGGTAGGGAATTCTGCGGTGCACTGTAATGGCGTGGTGAGATGTTGATACGATACCTTGTGGAAGATAAACATCCCAAAGCAAAAACCGGTCAAAACTGGTGCCCAAAACAATGTAAAGGAGAGAGTGAGCTGGGGTAAAGTAATATTGATGTCTTATGGTGTCTTAAATAAGGGGTTGCCATTGAGGGGGATTTAAGATTTATAATGGTTTGTCTTTAAGTCTATGTCAATGTAGGTTCTAAAGATCGGAAATTGTTTTGCGCACATTGGATTGCGGGCACACAGTAAAACGCATAGTCTTTTTGAAAGAGCATGTCTCAGAAGAAGAGGGCGTCACACTTGCCCGCATATTGGTGTGCAACTCCAACAAACAGTTCAGTGTCCTGTATTCTCTTAAGAAAGTGCAGTATTTGACCTTTGAGAGAAGTAAGATTATTGTATAATTCTTGGTTTTGATAAGGGAGTTCAACTGATCATTCCTTTTTGACTATACAAATTTACATGTTATATAGATATGCCCAAATAAGATAGGCATACTCAGTATATACTCAGTATTCCAGAAACAGCGCTCAGTGATCATTTCTCTCAAAGAAGAAGTCTTCCTTCAAGAAAATAACTGTTCCGTTTCCACATGCGCAATGTTCTTTCAAAAGGGTATGCAATTGTTTATAAACAAGGCCGGTTCTTTTCAAAGGTAAATACCTGAGGAAATATGTAGATTTCTGTGCAATAATGCAAGTTTATATAAAAGATGTCCATCCAAAACATGCATCTTTCTTCAATGGGTGCAATATTCCTCCAGGGCAGTGCTTTATGTACAAAACACATCGGCCAAATATGAAACATGGATTGAACCAATGCAATGTTAAATTCAAAAATTCAGGCAACATTCAGCAGATTTTCTGTTTGTATTTGAAGTATTCCTTTGAAAGATACCGCTGTCAGTTAAAGATGTGCAGTGTCTGAGACACACAGTTTTCATTTGAGAGATGCGTGTTTTTCAAAGAAATAGTACTTGTTCAAAATATCAAGTATTCCCTGCAAAAAAACATGGAATTCCTTTTGACATACAGTATGCTATTCTGTCGACAACTGCAATGCTTAAAAAAGTATTTCTTTGACAAATCCTTTTGAAAGGGTAGCGCTCTTCAAGTTCGGTGTTCTTTTCAAGCAGTGAAATTGCGCTACAAACCATTACAGTATTCCTGTCAGAAAGTGGTGTGTTTCTGACAATGCAAACTCGTAAACAACCAGCATTCCTTTCAAAAAAGTACAAATAGTTATTGCAGATGAAAAGTGTTTTTTGCTTTTAAGACTAGTTTTCCGGAAGTCTTGGCTCCCCTGCAGAAGACAAAGAATATCAAACAAATAATGCGAAAGGTTTTGCAGGAGTCTTGATTGAGTCTTGGTTTCAACAAGACATTAAATATACCAGAAACATCCAGAAACACGCTGTTCCAGAAATCCTGAGATTGGGGTTCTAGGAGATCAAGACAAAAAACAACATTCCCAAAAGTCTCGAGGTTTGCTGAAAAAAGTCAAACCGAAAGCGCGTTCCAAGAAGTCTTGCTATTGGGAGGGGCAGGGGGTGGCCAGCAGAGAGTCTCAGAAAATTGTTTTTTTGTTTCAAAGTGTTTCTCCTATTTCGATCGTTGTGGGTGGCCAGAAGAGTTGTCTCAGAATATTGCTTTTCTTCAATGTGGTTTTGGAAGCACACATTCATGAACAAATGTAGTTTGAATGGGTTTTAAGCTGTGATTTACTGTGATTCATATATACAGCCTTTTGATGTTTTTTTTACGCATGTTGCACGTGAAAATTCAAATTCCGATGTGTGGCCTTTCTAGAGATTTGCAACCGCAATTCCATAAATCATAATCGCATATATTCGCTCTATAACTGACCTGGATCTGTACCCAAAAATTGTACCACGGAAACTGCGCTAGGTCGGACACAAGTCACTTGAGTGCATCAGACAAATTCACGTGATGTGTAGTTTCAATATTTTCAATCGATATTCGCAAAGTTTGGATCGGAGTTGAACAACTCCAAACTATACCACTGTACGCCTGTACTGTACAGTACCCCAAAACCGTACCAACGTATACCTTACCACTCTACCGTACCGCGCCCCAAAACCATACCCCAAAACAGTCTCACTTACTGTATATACCAGAAAAAGGAAGTATTTTTTCGTAGGGTCGGGAGTGTACCAATACTAAGCACCCTACCGTACCACTGTACCGTACCGTACCCTAAAACCGTACTCCAAAACCGTACCCCGAAAACCGTACCCCAAAACCGTACCCCAAAACCGTACCCCGAAAACCGTACCCTGAAAAACCGTACCCCAAAACCGTACCCTGAAAAACCGTACCCTGAAAAACCGTACCCAAATAAGGACATATATCGATATACCTTTTTGAGTGTACCAATACTTAGTATTGGTACACTCAAAAAGGTATATCGATATATGTCCTTATTTGGGTACGGGTACGGGGTACGGTTCTGGGGTACGGTTTTCGGGTACGGTTTTCGGGTTACGGTTTTGGGGTACACTCGCACAGTCCCGACCCCACGAAAGGATACCAACTTATAAAGTTTTGAGGTACAGCTTTGGGATACGGTGTGCTACAGTGGTAAGGTTTTGTGGTATGGTGTGGTACGGTCGTATGGTTTTGGGGTGCGGTTTGGTACAATGGTAGGGTACGGTGGTACGGTTTCGGGGTATAGTCGGGTCGAATTGTTGGGGACAGATATAGCGCAGTTAGCATGGAGCGGCATTGATGCTTAGGATGTGTTTGAGCATTCAACACCTTTACTATGGTGTAGTTCACAAGACTGGGAATATGCAGGTACCATCAGGTACCCAAACGCAAAACAACACAAAGCCTCGTATGTATTAACATGTTTCAGACGCAAGGCAAATGCCTGGCGCAGAAATTCACTCAATAAAGAGCAATAAGGACACGAACGCACACACACACATACAACTATACATACATACATATATATATATATATCAATATATATCAATATATATCAATATATATCAATATATATATATCAATATATATATATATCAATATATGGAATAGCAACACATGAAACGCAAGTGAAGCACATCAAATGCAAAGCGGGGGGCAAAGTGAGCAATCTAGGGATTGTGTGAGAACACACATGGATAACAGCTCAGCCAAATGAAGTGTGCAGATGTATGCAGCACAAAAGGGTACAGTAGACTGTTAATATTGAGACACACTCTAGATGCAAGGCACTGTATGTTATTTTTTGTTGGACACATATATTAAATACATGATATTAGTATATATTAGCGCATTTCTTCATGCAGGGACGCATGTATGTGATACTGGTGCTATATAGGCATCTAGACTGTACACAAAAAGCATTCAGACTTCAAGTTCATGAGGGGAGATTGCGTCGACAAGCGGACTGAATCGTCTAAGGCTGTGTGTGTGAGGGGTTTTGACACTGTAGTATGTGATGGTAGTGGTAGTGGCCCTGGTGGCTCACCACTTGAAATAAAATATTTTCGATAGGTCACGGGGTCATGATCAAAGATGACTTCTGGATTGGTAAATGTTGGGCCCCATGCCGTTTCGTGTAACTTATGCGGACGCGCACACTACTACTTTTTCTAGTATACAGTATGCCCAAGGTGGAAATCAGTAGCCCTAAACAAATGCCTTTGATCCCTCAAACAAAATGAGTTTATCATGTTTATCATTGTGTTTTCTTTTGGTTTTCAGAGCTAAAGCAGATTGGATCCGCGACCACAAACGCAAAGGGGCCACATCAGTTGTTTTTTTTGTTTGTGTTTGTTTGTCATTTGTTTTGCATTTCTACTTGAGTTTGCTTGCGCGTTTGTTTGCTTTTTCTACTTTTGTGTAGTTGTGAATATTACTGACATACAAGATACAAAACTTGTCACAAACCACGACCTGGTTTGTATGGCCCGGGTGAGCTGCGTCCATGTACGTCTGGCTACAGTAACAAATCCATGTCCTCTATGGGCCCCTGTATGGTCCTTGCTTGCGTGTGAGTGCATTTGCTGCATTTTTCTTGTCGAATCGTGGGTCTGCTTGTGAGTTCGTTGATGTGGTCACTTGTGTGTCATTTAACCAGAAATTGCAATTCCAAACTCCGAATATAATATGTGAAACTAAATACTCGAGAATTTCCAATATGCAAGAGCTACACAACAAATTGCTAATCGCACAGACTGTTTAGAATCCTGGTGCCATGCATGCCGTCCCATGCATGCCACTTGCTGTGCTTTTGATGGCGTGCGTCAGTTTTTGTCATGTTCAATTCGTTTCATTTCATTTGATTTCGTTTAGTGTTCTTTTATTTCCTTTCATGTCATTTATTTGTTTCGCATGCTTCCCAACAATGAAGGTAAGAAATCCTGCACCAGCTTGGATGGTGGAAACCCTGTAAATAATGGGATAAAACAGCTATCAACTGGTGCAGGATGTTTTTCCATCCACTGCAATCAACTTGATCAAACTTGTAGAGTATTATATTCGGTTTTCAGTGTCATCCATGTTCTCCATTTTCCTGTTGTTGTTCTGGTGTTTTGCTGTTGCCTTGGTAGTTTTATGTTCGATTGGTGCTTGGGGTTAGTTTTTATTGGGTTAGCCCTTATTGGGTTAGTTTTTTGTTTGTGTACGTTGGTGTTGGGTTTGCTTTTTGGTTCTGTTGTTTGTTGATGTTGATTTGCACTAAAGCATGCGGTTTTCTTGTCATTGTTTGTGTGAGTTTCTACACAGGCCTCAAAGGCCATCAGCGTAGCCCATTGAGCAAAACCAGTGAATCTAAATAAGATAAGATACATGATATTCTGGCGAGATGTGCTGTCGTATCCTGAAATCTTCACAACATAAAAATGATTTACAGCGCTTATTTATGTGAGTCTAGTAGTTTCCTCCGCCGGACACAGATTCGGTTTTTAGGGTTTAGAGCAAGAACTACTATTTCAGCAATGACAATAAGGTGTCTATGGTTGATGATCATGTTCAGTTAAAAGTCTACAATCATCAAGTTCTGCCGTGGTATACACCACCTTCTACATCTCAATGATTTCAATAATATATCACCGTATCATATCATACCCCAATGCAGTACCATCATATCGCACTATGTATTTAAAAAACTTATCATAATCATATTTTATCATTATATCGTGCCATGACCCCAAAACCGTACCACTGATCCGTACCACTGCACCGTACCATGACCCCAAAACCGTACCATCGTACCGCACCATGACCTCAAAACCGTACCCTCCAATCGTACCCCGTTCCAAGCATCCAAATTCACACCTACTTTGAAAATTCATAAACTATATACCAAGTATTTGTGGTAGTTATGTTCGCCAACTTAGGTTGTACTCATTATATCCTATTAAATCCTATTCAAACACCATTAGGTTACATATGGTTATAATATATATATATATATATACAACTACGACTACGTATATATATATATATAACTGTAAGACTATAACTATTATATAACTATATATATGCACATGCAACTATATATATACAACTGTATATATAAAACAGTATATATATATATAAATAAATAAATAAATCTATATATATATATATACATATATATATAAATACACATATATATATATATATATATCAATAAATATATATATATATACATACATAAATGGATAACTATATATATATATCTGTATAGATATATACAACTACATATAACTGCATGTATAACTGTATTTATAACTATATATACAATTATAATATATACATATATATATATTTAAATATATACATCCAACTATATATTCATATATATATATAACCATATATATATATGCATACAACTATATATAAGTATATCTATATAAAACTATATAATTCTATATTTAAAACTATATGTATAACTAAATATATACCAATATATATATATATAAATATAACTACTATATATATATTGGTATATCGACAACTTTAATATATATATATATATATATTTAAATATACCCGAAACATCCCGGAACCCAACTGACGTTGGTTTGGAAGGTTAAAGCCCAACAATGGAGGGTTAACCATCCAAAAGAGGGCCCCCAAATGACGCGCCTCAGGGCGAAGCCGCGCACTGCGTGACGCATCTGACCTCGACGTTCGACGCCAAAACGAGAACTACCAGAATTTTCTGAGTTGCTTAGCACGTATGTGCAAACACAATATAAAGTTTATATGCGTATTTATATATATATAAATCTATTTACTTACAGTATTTATCTAGGGTTTCATATATATATAGATAGATAAATACATGTATGCATATGTAGATAGAAAGAGAGAGGAAAAATGTTTGGACATATGTACATATATATATATACAGATACAGTTATAGATATTGATAGATTTTGATATAAGATACAATAAGATACATAAAATTTTAGATATACATAGATACAATATGTACATATATGTGCTATCATGTACTATCAAAATTATAACAAACAAATAATGCACTCAACATCGCATCGAAGATTCCAAGGTGAGATGCGAAGGAACTAACATGACTATGGAAAATCACCATTTTCAATGGGTAAATCAACTATTTCTAAATGGCCATGTTCAATAGCTATGTTAGTTTACCAGAGAGTACCCCCCTAATTTCATTGTCATCTTCTTCATCGTCTTCATCTTTGTGTCAAGTTCATCATCCTCATGTTCATCTTCATGTGTGTCTTCTTTATCCTCGTCATGTTGCTCATCCTAATCTTCATCTTTGCTTTTTACCTGCGTCTTCTTCATCATTGTAAACGTCACCTCAGGACTCCGTCTTGCTCCCCAAGACAGAGAATCATAAAGAAAATCTTCTTATCAGCCGCCAAAACCATGGGAAGATCTACCCTTCAGTAATTAATCCAAACTGGCTGGCTGGAAAACCATGGAAAGTCCATTAGTTTCATACAACAACTAAACATGTCCATATGTTTCCGGGATATTTTCTAGATTTTTCTAGGGCCGCCTGTTTGACCCCAATGCTGCCCACTGAGGAAAGCCTTTCATAAATGGCATTATCAAACACAAAAGCAGGCTTGCCTGAAAATTGGGCCCCTAGAATTTGATGCTTGATCATCATTTTGACGATGGCAGCAACGATAGAATTCCATAGAATGCTGTAATCAACTCTCATGTTTTGGACACGTTTGCTAATCAAAGCTTGTCACTGTAAAATTAACCTGCTGTCATTCTTTGCTAGTTAAAGACTGTTGAAAACCCATACAGTAATCAACCATCGATTGATTGCTTTGAATTGAAGCCCGAAAACCATTGTTTCAAGTACGAAATCTTGGGGTTTCCTCTAGATCTATTGACGTGTTCGCCATGTTTTTGGTGCCGGGCATCTGAGGGGGCCCCCGCTGTTGTCAGTTTTTGACATTACACTAAAAACAACATCATAGACGAGGGGGGTGGGTGGGGTGGGGTGGGGTGGGGTGGGGTGGGATAATAGCGTCATGTGCTGTACGTTCTCCATGCACTTGCACACATACGTCATGCTACGCTGCTGTACGTTCTCATGCACTTGCACACATACGTCATGCTACGCCGCTTTACGTTCTCATGCACTTGCACACATACGTCATGCTACGCCGCTGTACGTTCTCATGCACTTGCACACATACGTCATGCTACGCCGCTGTACGTTCTCATGCACTTGCACACATACGTCATGCTACGCTGCTGTACGTTCTCATGCACTTGCACACATACGTCATGCCTACGCTGCTGTACGTTCTCATGCACTTGCACACATACGTCATGCTACGCTGCTGTACGTTCTCATGCACTTGCACACATACGTCATGCTACGCCGCTGTACGTTCTCATGCACTTGCACACATACGTCATGCTACGCTGCTGCTGTACGTTCTCATGCACTTGCACACATACGTCATGCTACGCTGCTGTACGTTCTCATGCACTTGCACACATACGTCATGCTACGCTGCTGTACGTTCTCATGCACTTGCACACATACGTCATGCACGCTGCTGTACGTTCTCCATGCACTTGCACACATACGTCATGCTACGCTGCTGTACGTTCTCATGCACTTGCACACATACGTCATGCTACGCCGCTTTACGTTCTCATGCACTTGCACACATACGTCATGCTACGCCGCTGTACGTTCTCATGCACTTGCATACATACGTCATGCTACGCTGCTGTACGTTCTCATGCACTTGCACACATACGTCATGCTACGCCGCTGTACGTTCTCATGCAGTTGCACACATACGTCATGCTACGCTGCTGTACGTTTTCATGCACTTGCACACATAAGTCATGCTACGCTGCTGTACGTTCTCATGCACTTGCACACATACGTCATGCTACGCTGCTGTACGTTCTCATGCACTTGCACACATACGTCATGCTACGCTGCTGTACGTTCTCATGCAGTTGCACACATACGTCATGCTACGCTGCTGTACGTTTTCATGCACTTGCACACATACGTCATGCTACGCTGCTGTACGTTCTCATGCACTTGCACACATATCATGCTACGCTGCTGTACGTTCTCATGCACTTGCACGCATACGTCATGCTACGCTGCTGCACGTTCTCATGCACTTGCACACAGACGTCATGCTACGCCGCTGTACGTTCTCATGCACTTCCAGATCGTAGGGCGGGTGTTAGGTGGATGGTTATGGATATGTAAACGATTATTATGATGATGATGATGATGGTGATGATGATGATGATGAAATTGCTCCTGATGCTAAAGTTTCGTTTTTCAGCGTCTTGTGGTCCCCCCTGTAAAATGTTTGAAAAGTGACAACAGCGGGGGCCCCCTCAGATGCCCGGCACCATGTTTTTCCCACGTTTCTTAACCGGGCGCTCCGGCTGCAGTTGCGACAACAAGCCTTCAAGCTGCGCCAGGGTGGCGTTGTGCCAGCTATCCGCGGAGCTTCCCTGCAAGGTGAAGATATGAAGGTGTCCTAAAGTGTATCTGGTTGGTGGTTTTAACCATCTTGAAAATATGAAAATCAATTTTGGAAGGATTATCCCATATAAAATTATGGGAAATAAAACATGTTTGAAACCACCCACCAGTTATGGGCATATAGTTGTATAGTGAATGTTAACTATGGTTTGTGGGGAACATAACTATGTCGTCATGGGATCTTATATAACTTTTTTTTTGAGTTTATGGGATGTTATTTTCACAAGGAAGAAAAACCCACGAAACTATGGTTGGATGAAGATGGGTTAGTGAGTTGCTTAGCTTTTAGTGTTTGAAAAGGGACGCGCACCAAAAAAAACGGTTTGAATCGCTTTAAATATGTATACTTCCCAGCCCAAGCACAATAGGAATCATTGAATGGTTGCATATTTCATGATGATACTTCCTATATTGAATTGTTGGACGCCTAGCTTCCCAAGCGACATTTGGATCAACCTACAGGATGTACGGAATCTGGGGGTTCCCAGCTTGCCCGAGTTGGGCACAAAGACATGATCAACATGCCTTACATCATAGCTTATCGTAGTTGAAAATAATCTCAAACGTCTTGGACACAAAAGATGTAAATAAAATCAATTTCAAGCGGGTTATGATGTTCCTGCATGTGTAAGGACAAAACAAACAAGCGAAATAAAAATATCTCGGGAACCTCCTAAAATAATCCAAATCCAAACTATATAAGGGTGGCCAAAATAATCAAACTATAATGAAACTGTCCTCCGAACATTGGGCATTCATCTTTAGAGGCCACGCCGTAGAGCTACTTGAGCCAACCCAAGCGGTACGAGTAATTAAGTTAGATCTTCCCCAAGGCCGTGACAACTGAATAATTAATCCACATGTTGAATCATTTGACTTCTGCTTATCATCACCTATTCTATGTTTCTTTCGGGATGTTTCGGGTATGTGCTGAACCTGCTTCTGATGATATTGAGAGTGGCCAAAACGAGCAAATCCACATGCGACCGGAACTTTGTGCAGCTGACGCGCAAGCCACTTTTCGCATCGTCAGAGCATCCGTTTTACAGCAGTGGGGCCAGTTGCCAATCGCTGAATTTCCAGGTGAAACCAGGTAGTTTTTTTCGTACGATAAGTATCATGTGCTTGGGACACTGAATTTGTAGCTCCTTAGCCCCCGATTGAATAAGAAATGTGAATATCCATAGCTCCGAACCTCTCCCTCGAAACCACCAGATAGAAATCGTCCTCCAAAACAATTGGTTTCCCTTGGCATCATGGCGTTCGCATTGCCAGTGGCTGTTCAAACGCCCGTGCCAATCTTCTCCTGCAACAATCGGTCCCAAGAAAGCCTGAGCAGCACAGGCTTATAGGGGCTGCAAATAGGACCGCATGGGGTTGCTTATTTGCTATCATGTACTGTACGTGGAAATTATCCCTCTTTCTGTGAGGAATGTGAGCGCAGTATCCATCTATCATCATCAACCAGTGGAAAGGCGGCCACACATTCTCGAGAATGCAGATCATATTATTATATAATATATATAATATTATAATATATATAATATATATATAATATTATAATATATATAATATATAATATATTTATAATATATATAATATACATATATATAAGATATATAATATATACAATATAATAATATATATATAATATACCAACCTTACCACTTTTTGTTTTTCCATGCTACCCGGGTTCCCTTCCAAGCAACAACTGCTCGTTCAAAGACGTCATCGCCTGAGGGGGTTCGAGGCGATGGCAAGTGGTTTCACATATGAACCATTTTTTCGATAGAATCATTTTCCAACCGGCAAACACTTGGTTTTCATGGTTTTCCCATGTTTTCCAATGTTTTCCATACGTGTCAGTTTACCCCCTCGGGCAAACCTTAAATCTGTGACCATTTCATCCAAGCACCGCGTAGTAATCTTCTGCCAAACGCCCCACTTGATCGTGAAGTGCGGCCGCTGACCCCACCATTACCTCGGAGCATTTTCGTGGGAGTCCACAATTATGGTGATTTGAGCACTTTAAAATGTGATCAGACTATGGTTACACAACACAACAGTTGGTTCAAAATGTTTGTAATTGTCAACAAACATACTCCAAACTGGCAATGCAAAGATACTATATTTAAATGTGGGCAAATTATAATAACTCACTAACCTGAATTAAGGCCATTTGGGGATAATTCCCCTTATTAGCCATAAGTCCAGTGAGGTCGCAGTGAGGTGGTTATAATTTACACAGATGAATGTAAATGATGGTTCCATGAACGTAATGGGGACTTTGCCCCTGAGATGATCCATGTTCCAAAAAGATGCTTCTGGTGCTGACCTCAGGATGTCATTCATCCCTATCCTCGCATTTTTGGAGTCAGAATCGTTCTGCACCTAATGGTGGTGAGCAAAAACTGCAGACTGCCGCAAACAACATAGTTGCCTAAGTGTAATATAAATAGAAATCGTGATTACACCCCAATTCAAGGCTTCATTGGTTGCGTCCCCGGTTTTCTGTGGTTTAGCACCCTTTTTCTCGATAGTTTCCTATTTTCCTTAATGAACACTTTTCTTCAGACAAACCACACTTGTCCCCGGTCAATCCCAAATTTTCTCGGTCATTGGGATTCTCATCATCTTCAACAAAGGGTGGTAATAACATAAACCACATAGTATGACCGACATAGATCTTATACTCATCAATCACCAAGGGCATTTTTGTTGAAAAACGTGAAAGACATCGAAATAAAATATGAAATATCGAAATAACTATCTCATGTTTCCCTGGATAAATCAAATTTTTGCCAATTTTTCCATGGTTTTCCCAGCGTTTTCGTTGCCGCGGTGCCGCGCTGTTGGCGTCGACCTTTCTCAAGCGATCCCCATAGGCGGGCAGCTCACGTAGCGATGGGGTGTTCACCTGTGATCTGCGGTCAAACATGCGGAGAAAACAACTGTCTCTGAAAAGAAACATGTGAATGTAGGTAAAACAATGCCATAAACTACCCATGACTGGGAATGGTAAACATACCACCTATAAAAATGGTGATGGCTCGAGGATGGTTTATGAAGTTTATGGTTGTCTTACCCACATGAATGGTGATTAATGGTGATTTAATGGTGACTTAATGGATGATGAATGGTAATGAATGGTGATGAACTGGACTTATATTATAATCAACAAGACTGGAGATTTTCCTCGTGATAGGAGTTGTTCATGGATGTTAAAATACAAGGCTACAAGGTCCCGCCAACAATAGCTAAGTTCGTTCATAACTAGGTTGACTTAACGGGTTTACGAAACGTGACGTGTTCATGGCTGGATGGGGCCCTGCAAACCATCAGCCACAAAACTGGCGGGCACCTCACCGGAAATGTTTGGCGAACTGATGACATGTTGGGATCGTTTCCCCTACCCACCATCACTAAAATGTGATGTCGCGCTGAGGTCGGGTTTTTCAATCTAGATGTATGCATGCATCAATATCATAAATATATATAAATATGCATGTATAGAGAGATGTGTATATATATATATATGGTTATTTTGTTGTATATGTACATAATACGCAAATGCAAACCGTATGCAAATGTAGATTGAAGGGTATCTAGTTTTGGGCACTTTAACTCTGATAATATATACTTTTGATCATCACGAAGAGAGTCTACATGTTGTGTCTATCTATACTGTCTCTTAGCGTGGCCATATGTAAGTAAATTGTAAAACAATGTGTGAGTATGCATGTGCTGAGTGCACATATTTCTGTATATAAATCAAATGTTGTATATATACATATATAAAATAATACATGTTATGCATATTTATAGTACATATTCGCACACACACACACATGTTTACCTGGAGATGAAACGTCCGCCATCGGAGTTCTTGTGGAAAATCGGTTTCAAAGAAACACACTTAATGAAAACAAAACTGGGTGTTCCTGTTGAAAAAAAAAGATGCTTTCAGTCACACCCAAGAAGGGAGCTATCCCCTGGCAATCTAACGTAGCAACAACAAATCCCTTATGCCTCACACCATGTTCCCATCATTTGGGTGTCGCCAGGTGAAAATATGTGAGCCAACTGCAGTCAACCAAAATCCTATGATTTTGAACTTATTGAGGCCCCAGGAAAATACCCTCTGGTAATTTAACATAGCTATGGAAAATCACCATTTTTAATGGGAAAATCCACTATAAATGGCCATTTTCAATAGCTATGTTAGTTTACCAGAGGGTATCTCATCAACTCCCCACTGTGAATGCTTCAAACAGTTGGAGATATCCCATGAAAGTTTCGTTTTCCACCCCAAAAAATGCTATCGCATTATATCGCATTTTTATCCCCATGAAATATCTGATTTGGATATTTCCTGGTACACCATATCCCATTACATCCCCATTACATCCCCATTACATCCCCATTACATCCCCACTATGACTACCTCCTGAGAAGGTACGGCTAACCCCCTAAATATCCCTAAATTATATCCCGAAAACTCCCGCAAAAGGTACGGCTGGATCCATAGGTCAACAACCCCCCCTTAAACCCTTGTATTCCATGTAAAATCAGGTGTTTTTCCCTTTGTCAAAACCATTCAACCCCCAATTGACCAATGGTTTATCCCAGCTTATCCTTGTATTTTGATGATTTTTCAAAGGATTTCACGTGTATAGTCGTGTATAGTCATGTACAGATGTTTGCTTCCCTTGACGTTCAATTCCGAAACATCCGAGGCGCATAGCTCTCCAGCGCCTCCACTTCCTTGAGCTCTTTGGCAAAGTCCTGTCGGGAGACACTTGGGATACGAATGAGATTTAGATATGATATACCCATTGGATATCTACAATAACCCAATCAAATATGGATATGGATATGGATATGGATATTAATGGATATCTCTATGGATATCATCTATGGTGGATGTCATCTATGATGGATGATGGATGATACAAATGATGTATGTTGATTGGTGTGGATATCAGCAATCCCAGTGATTTAGATATCTACAATTGATATCAACTGATACTCCAATGAAACATATTTTCCAGTTGGTAATTGGGATATTGATAGATAGTGTTTTATCGAAATGCAACTCTTCAAAACAACATGGAAACCAAGAGAAACTTAAAGTGATTTATAGAGCTGTTTTTGTAGGATAACTAAAACTCGGCATCTTTATGGGGGTTTTGGGGTGTTACTACAAATAGATCCCCAAAACTTGGCTGTCAGCGTCTTCGGGGATGAACATGAGAAGAACAAATGTGTTGAACTTGATACATACTTTCGTCAAGACTTTTTCAAGCAACAGATCTACGTTGCGAATGCCTTCCCCCCTATGGATTTCAATACCTCAATAGGAACACCAACTTTGTGCTTGATCCATAGATTTTGGGGAACCATATGGGGGGAATTCAGCACATGGATAGCGACAATATGCGCATAGCGAGATATGCGTGTTGCAGCGTGTTGATGTTCCTCCACACAGAGTAGCAAAATAGAACACATTCTCGTAGACTACCCTCTGGTAAACTAACATAACTATGGAAAATCACCATTTTTAATGGGCAAATCCACTATAAATGGCCATTTTCAATAGCTATGTTTACCAGAGGGTAATACGTATGTAAAATCACCATTCTCACGAGGTAGGTAAATCATGAGCCGTCTATACCATAGCTATGTTAGTTTACTGCAGGGTATTCCGCACACAACGTTTCAGCTCCACTGCCACCATGCCATGTCCTGCAACTGCTGCGCATGCTGCACCACATAGTTCTTCTTGGTACTTGCATGCCTTGAAAATGAGCAAAATCAAAAATGATGGCTCATCTGGGAAACCCATTGAAGGCATGAACAGGCTCTGAATAATCCATTTTTGCTTGGGTTACCAAGCAAACAACATGTTCACCGAGGAGTGCAAAAATTTGCTGGGTTTCTCCAACAAATTGATGCAAATGATACAGTGTATTTTGTTTATATTATATCTGCTGAATTCAATGGATAATAAGGGGGTTGAAACCAAGATATTGAGACCGTACATGTGCCATATGTACCCTCCTTCCACAATGCTCATCTAGCTCAACCTGGGTCTTTTGAACGCCTCAGTTCACCAATCAATTAGAGTAAAACGCAACGACATTCATGCCTATCAAATTTGGCAACCTCACCACCAGCCTGCCCACCCATGGTACAAGCACTCAATAGCTGTTACCTGAAAATTCATCCTCCTGCAAACCAACATGGAATTGATTAACAAAAGAAGGTTTCTGGAAGATGATGTTCCTATTGCATTCCTGGCCATGTTTGGGTTCAGGTTCATGTTTCTTTTCAGGGTTCCATAATCTCTGCATCAAACCATCAGGGAGTTCATACTCCAGTTTCCCCCGTGAATTTGTTGGGGCGAGCTGTACGGGTTGAGAGCTTCATTTCGTCCATTGTGGAAACCCTGGGAAAGTGTTTGGGTGAAACCACCGGCAACTTCTTTCCCTCCGGCTATATGAATGAAGTGGTTTTCTCCATTTCTTATCATCCTACGGTAATCCACCCCGAAAAAAACAAAAACAAAAACACATGTACTGATATAACCTATATATACCTATATATATATATATAACACTATATTTCTAGTTCACTATATATATATATATATGTGGAGGTTATATCAGTAAGTAGAATCTATTTCTGCCGTTTGCTCGCTTTCACATGCTTCAACCCATCCGAGAAATATTTAAATATTAGACAAATTAAATGGCAATCATCATCGCAGGAACTGTTTTTTTATTTGTTTTCTGTTTGGTGGCAATCCCACCACCTTACTCACGGAGCGTTTTCTATGTGCAGTCCAGAACATGTTCATTCTATCCCAGTATTTCCTCCTTATAACTAACATTTTTGTGGTTAAATCATGTTAAATCCTAGTTTACCCAGATATATCCCCATTCAATGTCCGTTCATATACGATTTTATCAACTGAAATCAGGCTGGTAAAATCAGCATGTTTCATCGTAAAATCACCGTTCCATTAATTAAAACACGTTTTTCCACCATGGTAAATGGTAAAATCACAATTGTTCACGGTCAAACCACATGTCTTAACCATTTTTCATATGTTTCATGGTCAAAAACACTTATGACTTATATTTTTTCGTGGGATTTCCATATTATTTCATCCCAGTCCCATCAAGCGCGCCCCACTTCGCCCGCAGCGAGGCGCAACAAGATTTGGGAGGTTCCGGCATGTTGCGCTTGAAGCCAGTCTTCCAATTCATCGAGGCCTCGAAAAGCCGGGCAGCAACGGATTTTTTTTGCGCTTTACTGGTGAGATTTAATGATATTTCAGGGGAAAACAACGATATAACGGAAGTTTACTAGTCAAACTTCCGACAATGTGGACAGATGGAAAAGCAGAGGTGGGAAGAGTCAGAGAAGAGAAGAGCAGAAGAGAGAAGATCAGAGAAAAGAAAGAGTGAGAAGAAAGAAGATGCAGGTGCGCGAAAAGGTAGCAAAGTCGCGAAACAGTGTCAATGATTTGGGGCTCCGGAGTCCGGAGGGTCGAAAAGTAGGCTCGCTAAAGCGGCGGGTGCGGAGCCATCTGGCCAGATGAAAGATGAAAAATTGCACACCGTCGTGGCGCGAAGCACATTTCCAAGTGAAAATGTAAAATGTAAAAACATGTAAAAACACACACCAGCTTCGGAGCACTTTTGGAAGTTGAGATGTCAAAAAAATGCACGCCGCTGTGGCGCGAAGCACATTTCGAAGTCAATAGCGTTAAAAACTCACGGTCTCGGACCACTCTTGGAATTTGAGATGTTTAAAAAGCGTGGCACGAAGCGCATCTCCAGAGCACTTTTGGAAGTTGAGATGTCGAAAAAGTGCACGTCGTTGTGGCGCGACTTTCGAAGTCAAAATGTTAAAAACACCACATGTTCGGACCACTTTTGGACGTTCAGATGTCGTTCGCATGGCAGGCGCACGGGATGCTGCACCTTGTCAAAGGTGAGCAGGACATGAGGGTGTTGTGGCAGTTTCAACTACAACCACCACTACACAATACTAATTACACCACACTACACTACACTCCACTAGACTGCACTACGCTACAACTACAAACTACAACTACAACTACACTACATTACACTACACTAGAGTACACTAATTACACTTATTATTATTACACTACACTACACTAATCTCAATTACACTACACTACACTACTTACACTACACCACACCACACCACACGACACTACACTAACCAATTAAACTACAGCTACAACTACAACTACGCTACTACTTTACACTATACTACACTAGACTACACTACACTTCACTTCCCTACATTACATTACACTACACTCATTACACCACCACAAATGCAACTGCAACTGCGCTACGCTAATTACCCTACACCACAACTACAACTCCACTACAACTACAACTACAACTACAGCTGCACTACACCACACTACATCCAGCAGTTGTGGTTGAGGTGACCGACCCGGTGACCATTGCAACCATTGCAACCACTCCAAAAAACACAACTCCAACCACCTTTCGGTCCATCAGTGGATTCGCTCTGCCATCGCACAACAACCAGCTTCTCCTATAGGATTCCTATGTTTGAAACTTCCGCCACCGCCTTGTGCGGGACTACTGGTAAATATAATGACTAAGAACTGATGTAATACAGGGGCAAGTACCACAATATGGGGATAAGATGGGATAAAACTAACATGGATGGTATTTCATCGCGAGATCATGGGAATCTATTTGGAACAATTTAATAGGACATAATCCAACTATCTGATATTTGGATGTGTTTGAACATGAAGGATCTAATTGGGAAACACCTTTTTGGGTAAAAATAAGATGGAATTAAAGAACCAGCAGTACTGATACTGTAACTATGAGTGTCTCTGCAAATGAAGTCTTCAACATGATTTACAGAGGGGCATGTATGGGACATTGATCATGCCTAACCTTGGCCAGCCAGCAGAACACTTGATTCTTAGCTGGAAAATAATGTAAGTCCACCCTTTATAGCGACAAACTAACTCGCAGATACCTACGGCTATGATACCTGAAATGATACCAGTTAACAGTTTGCTACCAAGCCTGTTCAACCGCCCAAAAATATGCAAAGATATTCATCATTATATATTCCCCATAAACCCTACTGCAGCTAGTTATAAAATGTTACCAACCAGCTTAAGCATCATAACCCCCACATTAATCTCCATGTTTCTGGTGAAACCCTAACTTTTTACTCGTCAAATTCACCGTGATTTGGCTGGTAAATGCAGGTCTGTCATAGCCGAGAGACCTTGCTCCAGCTCCTGCCAGGAAGCGACTAACCCTGTGAGCTCATTTGTATTGAGGCATATTGCGTACGGTATACACATATAGGTGATTTGAATATGCCACAAATTGTCTACCCATAGAATTACACACACACACACCTATATATATATATTAATTATAGATGATTATGATTATGAATGCGCAGAATTTATAGGATTTCCAGGATTCGATGTCAAGTAATGTTGTATTGTGCCTATTCCACACTATTTCGATCCTGGTCCCTCAAGACTTACCAGCCTAAAGAGTACCCGTCAAATGTTTGGGCTACTCGGCTACTCTAATCAAGATCCAACATGTATGCAAATACTCTGCCCAAACAGGCCAAGAAGCGGATAGTATGCCCTCAACATTGCGGGATTGAACGTGCCCGAGCTTTGCCCAGAAACCATCCCTAGGTTCGAAAAAAAAAATCATGCAAAGGGGATGGAAAGTTGAAGGTAAATGAAAGCACTATGTGTTGCATAGCCATTGTGCACTGTGCACCCGAAAAACGCGGGTCTGATTGGTGGCAGATTTCCTGGTGTATGGTGATGTGGTAAAACCCAACGATAAACAACTGCCAATGTCAATACTTGGTGGAACCAAACCTCCAGAATTGATAGAATTGGAGGTTTATTAGTTTATTTTCGGGCTGGCGGTTTGCCACATTATTCATGATTCTTTCTGATACCCTCTGGTAAACTAACATAACTATGGGAAATCACCATTTTTAATGGGAAAATCCACTATAAATCACCATTTTCAATAGCTATGTTAAATTACCAGAGGGTACTTTGTGTCATTTTTGATGAATCCTTGTGGGCCCGTGAGTTCTACCGAGATGTTTCATCCCACTCAGCGCCTGCAACTTTGGCGAAGACTTGGAGCTCTTGAAGATCCTTGGCTCTCAAGGCCCCAAGTCCCGGTGAATGTTCTTCTTTTTTCGGGTTTCGTATTGGGAGAACCACCCCAAGAAACATCAAAAAACACATCACCATAAGTTTTTACCCAGGGATCTCTTCCAGTTTTCGATTCAATTCCGCCACCCGCGCATGCAGCGTCACCGGTGCGGTGACGCCCTTGGCTCTGCTGGAGGAAGGTGCGGGGGACTGCGAGCAGTCGCCCAGCTGACGCTCCTTGGGTCCAGACAGGTGCCCAAACAGGTGCCCCATTTGTGAGCCGCTGTGAAGCCTAGAATAAGAAACAAACATGGGAACAAAACAGAATTTATGTATTTTGAACGAAGAAATGGAGGGAAACTTGCAAACATGTCAATGTAGATTTTTTATGATTTTTGAAGATTCTGGGGAACAAAATGGGATGGGTAGAACAAAACCACAGCAGCAGAACACATTTAGAATAACTCAAACAACCAAAACAAGGAGATTTACTTCAACCATCCTTGCAGGGTTTAGGTCCAAAGTTTGCAGCAGCGGCCAATGCTGGAATGAAATCCCGTAACGCGCATTGTCATATCCCACGTCTTGCAAGGATCGCACTTTACAGTACCATCCAACAGGGTAGCCATTTATTTGGATTCTTGGTATAGAATACCACGGGGTGATGGTGCCTTTCATGAAGGTAACCTACAAGAATTGATGAAACATATGAAAACAATTTCAACTAGTACCATGGGTCTATTGAGGGTCGTGGCTAGCATTTTGCAAAATAAAATTTCGCCTGGATGTGTATATGGTTGCCGCTTGCTTGGTCATCACAGAATAATAATTGCCAACAGCATGGAATGTCGTCAACAGCGTTGACACATTCAACTAGAGTACATGTATATATATATATACATAAGTGGTTCGTAAGTTGGTTGTAACTCTAAGACTATACACGTGAGATATATAGGAAGATACCCCAGCTATTACTAGGTGGATCTTGGTGGCTAATCTTGCTAAGTACATTATATTCCTGGATATGAATAGGAGGGCTATCCACTTACAACTGGGGTGATAAGTTATAACCTACTTCCTACATAGTGGGGGCTCCTAGATAGCTAAGTTGCTTTATAACTCCAATATTTATGGTTTATGATACCTATAACAATGATACCTATAACATCTTATAACTATAGTTAATGGGGTTTATAAACCAACTTATAATTCGGGGGGCACATAATCTGTGGGATCCACCCAGTGTCGCACGCTGCGATGCGCTCGCTCAAGTCTCGGATCTGCGCAGCGAGTGGTAACGCCTCAGCGTACGCGCTATATGTCTGTGGATTTAACCAACAAATACGGGATTCAAACGAACTTTAATGGGGAATGCGTGATCAAACATTGGGTACATGGTGATATTTGATATTTGTCATTAGAAATGGTGGTTTCATGGTGATTTAACCACAAACAAAATGGAAAACTGATGGTTTAACCATGAAACATAGTGGTTTTATGGGACTCAATGGACAGTTGATGGAGAAATATGGGATAACTGGATATAATATAACTTATAACTAAACAAACTGGTAATCAAAGGTGGCTGGCTGATAAAAATATGGGACTTGTCATCATGGAGGCATATTTAATTCATATTACATCATTGGGGCATGGTGTTCTATCTGATATAATGGGCGTACTTACAGGTTTCTCAGCCAACTCCAACCAGCACCTATAAAATTTATATACAATCTATAGTAAGAAACAGAATCTATATATAATATATATATATATATATCCCCTTTTTGGGAGGGTTGTTTGTATATAAGTGGGTTATCAAAAACAACCTTCCCAGAAAGGGGATACTATAGCAATCGAAAGCACCCTCAAGAGGTGACCCCAGGGGGTCACCGACCATAGCTAAAAAGTTGTTTATAGTTTCTAACATGATGGGTTTATAGGATAATAAATGGTAATTACCACATTAGGTTTACTTATATAACAAGTTGTTTAGCAAACTGTTAATAGATTTTGATTGGCCTACAGGCCTACATGTTCCCTGTTGAAATGTTCATAAAATCTCAATTTTAGACTTTGATGACACATTTCAACCGACTTTGACCACACAGATTCAACACGGTCGACTCTTCCTCGCCTCGTGTCCTGCATCCGCCATGGCCATGGCACAGTAAAATTCAACTGGCGAATACGAGAAATTTTCTGTGCCTTTGACTGTTTTGATTGTTTCAAACTTATATTGCAATGAAATATATATATATATATGGCAATGAAATATGGCGATTTCCGGAAAACTTATATTCTGGCGATTTCCGGAAAAACTTATATGGCAATGAAATCTTGAAATCCTTTCCACCACATTAAGGGAGACCAACAACACAAAAAATGGCAATGGAAAATGAATGTGTTTGGATGTTTCTCCCAAGACGGTGAATTTTATTGCCGGGTTTTTTTTTCGCATAGGATACTTTTAATCATACTTTGAACAGAAAGAGCCGTGCTACGCCGGTTGATCCTGCCAGTATTGAGCGCTTCTCACAGCCAGTTGGATAAACTCCAAGGACCAAAAAAACAGCAAGGTGCAATAAAACAAAAACCGTGCTTTCCTTTGGACATACACGCGCACACACATATATATATATACATACATATACACATGGTAAACACAATAAACACATGCTAGATATATGGTGTATGTATATATATATGTATATATATATATATATTTGCGTAATACACATAGGTATTATTACATATGTACAGTATGTATGTATGCATGTATGTATATAATTATATATATATTTGTGCACTATGATATATATATATATACACCATTTGTGTATGTGTCTGTGCCAGACTATACCAATGTAAGTCATCAACCAACGAAAACCGTTGACTCGACATGATTCTGGCCCAGCTGCGCTCGCCTCCCAGCTCTTCTCTCGCACTTCCTAGTCGTGAGTCATGAGGGTACAAGATGATGCCCCAATCCGCTAGCCAAGGTCCATACATCATAGTCATAATCGATAAATAGATTGCCAACTAGATAATATAGCCGATATATATATATATATATGTATATCATACATTATCATACTGTAATCATAGATGGTCTATATATCCATCTATGAAACTATGGAGTACTGTGTGTCGTGATATATCTACCATAACTCCCGGTTAGCCTAGGTATAAATCAACTTAGCCACAAAGCATCGGCCACAAGACCAATGTTTGGGGGTGGCATTAGCATTTGTGCCCCAAAAATAAGTTAGCTAAGTGAGTCTTGAAGGGACTTGACCGGGGTATTGTGGCGGATATGTACTAGGTTTATAAACCGATACCTGGGGGGCACCACTTTGCAAGGCCGGACTGATAGTCATTGAAAAAAAAGGAAATGCTTAACAACCAGCATGTGTTTGTCGCATCCTTTTCTCAAGCAGCCAGAGAGAAGTGAGTTCATTACCAACTCACAACGCTGGCGATCAGAAGAGTACAATTTGACAATATGGCACAACTTTGCTGATAGGCCTGATATACCTCCATCTGCTGGCACTCTTATGCCAATCATCCGCCATTTCAAGTAACTAGACTAGACCTTACATATCTTTTCTCTGCTTACGATGCTTTCTCTGCGCATGATGATATTGGTCTGCAAAAAAAGGGCCTTGGCAAAACCCAACAGCAGACCGTCGGATCCCGGGATTTGCTCAGCCGGTGTCCTCAGCTTTCGAAGCTGTGTCCTGCTTCACCATCCCAGTGTCATGTGTGGTGAGTTCCAACATTTGAGACCAAAATAGATGGAACACCGGCCCAAGCAGCCCTAATCCAGCTTTCACCACTATGTAATTATAAACACAAGTTATACCTATATGTTTATATACATATATATACACACATATATATATATATAAAGATAAATAGAAACAACTAATAAATAAATAAATATGTATATATTACACGATTATGCACCGCTGAATTATCAAACGACAAAATCAATACATCAGCCTGTCCGGGGTTCCCGTTACTATTCATCCTCCGGTGAGGTAGCCCAGGTCCAATTTTCTGCCAGTGAAACCCGATACACATTTGCTGGTGAAGTCCCATTCTTGCTGCTTAGGTCGGATGAACTGGTTGGTGGTTGACCTACCCCTCTGAAAAATATGAAAATCACTTGGGATGATTATTCCCAGTATATGGAAAAATAAAATTCATGTTCCAAACCACCAACCAGATGAACATATGTGAAATCAATATGTTTGGATGTCAGATCACGTTGAATGCGACCCGCCGCGGGGCGCCTCCAGCCTTGTGCGCCACCATTCGGTGGACGCTGGTACGGAACGCTGCGGACAGTAGCGTGCCTTGAGAAATTATTCCCGGCCGGGAGTACTCCTTGGTAATTTTAACAGTTAGCGTTGGAAAATCACAATGTTTCATAGAGGTTTTAGTGGGAAAAACAATGTTTATTTAAATATATATATATGTGTGTGTGTGTGTATTTAAAAATAACATATAGTATATATTATTATGGGAAAATATTTGGACATGCCCTAAACATGGAGGGTTTTAATGAGCTTATCATCTATATACTTACTAGTGACGACGATCCCAGGGCGTTTCCACAGCACACTGTTAGTTTTAACACGATGGAAAACATCCCATTCCATCCGACGACTCATGTCGGGTGGAAAACAGTACGTGGCCCGAAGACTCAGAATGAAGCCTGAATGTCGCTGCCAATCTTGGACATCCTGCAAACAGTATTTTGTTATATTTTGTTTGGATCTAAATATGTGTTCACAAATTGAGTGAATAGGTATGTATACTGTATGATATTGTATGTTTATCTCCAGCTATGGATTTAAGTACTATCGATCCAAGGGTTGACCGGTTGACCCAAATAACATCAAATAACAACCGTCGACGTCGCGCCTGTAAGCGCTGCAACGACTCCAAAACATCATGTGCGCGGGTCCTGCGCGCATGCTTCGGATTCCCGGTGATGATATACCACAGACCAAGTAGCCTCTCATCATGGGCTCCTGGGACCATAGCATTGATGATTCTATACATTCACCATCATTCCAACGTTCGGTCACGACGTTTTATGTCGTTATGATTTACCCAGATATATTGATAAGTCTCCCATCATAAATATGATCACCAATATTCCATTAGTATTCCAATAAATCATAATAAAACCAGGGACCATACCATGAACATTTCCAAAGTGCCCTACCTGACCCCTACCTGAGCCATGGCCTCTGTTCCTGGCTGGGGCATAGCAGCCCAGTCAGCGCCTTGCTAAGCATGGCAATGGCAAATTCCCGCATTTACGGGTGGCTTTCCAAATCAAAACCTCCATTTATAGGGATTTCATATTAATCATCAAATTTTGGATCGCGTATTCCCAATATTATTCAATATTGACTCCAAACCGGGGTATGTCAGTCCGTGGGGTAAACGGGGTTGGTGCCTCACCCTATCAAACCTATTCTGAATGCATTATAATCCATTCAGGTATGGGTCAAACCATGTCAAACCTATCTAAGACTCAAAATTGATGCTTGAATCAAATAATGTAAAAAAACCTATGGTGACTTGGGTATCTCCCAATATTCAGAAACATCTACAGGTGGGCCAGGGTTGTAATTGCCGCCAAACGACCAGTATGAGCCCGCCATTGTAGTGTTCTGCCTGGGCAGGAATCAGAGATGGCGAAAACATCAAAAAAGCATAAAAAATAACCATGTACAGCTGAATGCTAGTTGAATTAAAGATGATTATAGACAATTTTTATACCATGTATAGACAATTTATAGATGTTTCGGATGTTTTGGAGCCGACGATCGTATTGTCAATGACATTCCTTTCCGACTTTCCATGACATGGGAACTGCACATCATCCAGGCATCAAACTGATGTGGGCTAGGCTATGTATTGACTATGTCGAATCTATGTGTATGTGTATATCCGTCTATGCGGGGCATGGGGAAACACGGGGTTCCCCCATGTCCAACATTGTCCAACCATTCAAGATGCAGATCAGTGCGCCCCGATGGCCATGTCACATTGGAGATAGCTATGGCAATTTTGGTGGCCATGGCAAACTACCGATATCTACGAATGCCACATAACACCTCAAAATAGAATCACTTCAGGACAATTTCTTGCAAATGTCATTATCGGATCACAGATTTGAACCTTTTAAGACTTCCAAGCTGGAGCTGCGGGGCATACTACAATCCACTGAAATGAGACCCATGGGACCTGCAGCAATGTTGATATCCAAGAATAACATAGAATAACATTCTATAACATTCTTTTAAAAAAATAAAAGCAAAACAACAACATACGTTCAAAACCCAGACTTGGGATTCATCAAAATCCATCAACGATCCCGTTCTACCTTAGTCCCAAGTGAGGTGTGCAGGGCAGCAGGGCAGCAGGGCAGCAGGGCAGCAGGGCAGCAGGGCAGCAGGGCCCCAGCTGCCGCCTGTTTTTCCAAAGCAGCGCGATCGAACTTGCCCTCAGAGATTCGAACAGCCAGGATGGCCAGGTTTCCTTCAGCCTGCCATTGTCGACTGATATTGATTCATGTGTAGTGGCCCAAACTGATCATTTCCACCACAAGGTGTTCTCATAGTTAGGTAAGTTGGCTTGCTGGTAGGTTAAGTAACAGTATAGAAACTATATCTATATGGATTTACCGCAGCTTCAATTAGATATAGTTATAGGTTAAGGATACCATGTGTTGCAGATACACCCGCAGATCATGGGGTTTACTTTTTATAAACCAACAACCCTCGGGGACAGCACCTTGGATGAACCACGGCTTCGCCTGATGAAAAGGTCGGTGGAGGCAAAGCATCTCATAGAGGATGCAGCCTCGGTTTGTTGGGATACGGACCATGGATATGGGGTGAGTTAAAATATGGGATTCTGATGTATCCGGAGAATGGGATTTTAATGGATTTTATAGTACTTTATAATTATTTATATATGTAATGGGATATTACTGGGATTTCAATGGAATAGTGGGATATACCCTCCGGGAATCAAACAGAAATTGCTGAAAAAATATCCCATTTTGTTCATGTTTTTCCCAATCAAACTTCCTTTTGTAACGGATTTCCACGTGGCCCGTGGCAATGGCAAATCCCCGAAAAAATACGGTTTTAATATCTACAAGTAGTCTACAATCGGGGATTGTCCACTGCCATTTTTATACATATCAACTCACATGACTGGCCAGTTCTACAACATGGCCTGCCACCACTCATTTTTTGCAGGGGAATGTCAACACAGCTATCCCTTGGGAGACCCAGTTCGTGTATTTGCCCAGTGGTTTCATGACCCTTTTTAAATGTGATACCAATGGCCAATAATAAACTATAAAATGCCTATAAAATGCAACCCCTATGCACCAAATATCACCAAATTCTAGCATGCGGGGGAACTATACCGCTCTCTTTCTCTATCTCTCTCTCTCGGGGGTTCATTTCACATTGAAACTGATACCACATTCTGATTAATTATATAAGTTTCATAATCCAACAAATCCCCCAAATTTTGCTGGGTAAAACTTGAAAAACATCTTTCCCTGCTGAACCTACCAAACATTACATCAGTATGGTTGGTACTTGTTTGTTCCCAATGAGTCTATACCATGCAATTCCATAAGCCCCCTACTTTTCGGCAGGCTGGACCACCCAGTTTGGGAGTCAGTCCACCAACGATCAGGATTTTCGGATCTCGAAAATGGGTTATACCCCTTGCTATGGCCAATTTAAATCAACTTTAAACATAAAATATGGTGATTACTATGCTCCCAAATTCCCCAAATTTCACTAATTTCATCGGAATTATTACGAGATTATAACCCCCAAAATGCAATTTCATGTGTTTTTTGTTAAACCCCAACTGGCCAATACGGTGGTTTTTCATGTCACTTACCCGGTAGTCCTCTGGGCAGGACGTCTGGGTATCCGCAACCCAAGGCCCAAGCATCAGCGCCTCGTTGCGTACCGTGTACCACGATGTGGTGCTTCGCCGCCATGCAAACCAGGCCAGGAAAACATGTAGATCGTTACAGGTGCCATTCTATTGCATATACCCTCTGGTAATTTAACATAGCTATTGAACATGACCATTATTAGTGGATTTACCTAGTAAAAATGGTGATTTTCCATAGCTATGTTAAATTACCAGAGGGTAATTATGTATACACATTTGTGTAAAAATGATTAAACATGGGAAAAAAAAACTAAAACAATCGAATCACGACACGCAAGCTTTCGATTCATATTCCATATCGATCAGGTTCCCAAAAATTGCATCGATCAAAAGCCCGGCAGGTTACGTACTAAGCCCAGTTCGCTCATCATACTGCTCACCTCTGCACAACCTTAGCCAGGATTCAAGGATTTCAAGGGTGGGTCTGACCATCCAAGACTGCCCTTGGTAAACAATCAATAGTGTTTATAATATAACATATAATATATGATAACAATGGTTTTAACATGTTTTAACCATCTTGAAAAATATTAGTCAATGGGGAGGATTATCCCATATATTGTGGAAACTAAAAAATGTTTGAAACCACAAACCAGTTGTGGTGAATGAGATATAACATACACAATATAGTGGTGAATAATATACAAGCATATACCAGTATCCAACTACAATACAATACTGATACCACACATTTATACACATTTTATAATATATTGGTGAATGACTACCTGCCCTTGGTGAATATAATCATTATCAATTCTTTGGTAATCTTTGGTAGTCATATCATCAGTGTCAGCCCCAAGTCTGGTACATTCCGGTAGCCATGTTTTCACCAACAGCCTGGACATGTCTGGACTGTTTTTGTTCGATCAAACAAAAGCTACGTTCAAGGCATGCTGCGTTCATGGAAGTGAACAACAAGGATTGTTTAAAACAAACAAGCCTCCCTTGAGCCTACTCCTAGCAATGGACATTCGCCCCGTGCAATGGGATACATTGATACATACGCATGTACACATATGCACATATATACTCAATTGCATCTGCATATTGAATCAAAATGAATTATATATTCGTGGCGGACAAAATTACTTACTACCCGCAATGGACTTGGCAAAAGTGGGTGGTCCCCTATCGGTTGTGAAGGTTTGCATATTTTTGCTATGTGTAAAAGTAAGGTATCGGTAGGTGCGTGATCCCCTATCGGTTGTGAATGTTTTCGCACATATTTGAAGATCCCATGTCCATTAGTCTTCCGCTAATTCAATTTTGTCAGTTACTCATATTTAAATAAATATATAAATATATATAAATATATAAATATATAAATATATATATATAATGTATAATTATGGATATATAGATGCAATCAAAACCATCAGCGGAGGATTGTTCCATGTTCGTTTTCGCCAGGAGAAAGCATGGCACCGGGGCCGCGACTCGGGAGCAAAATAATGGGGGGTCCCAATGACCTGAGCTCACCATGGCCCAGGATGGCCCAGGCCGGTGGTGGTTTTCGCCGCGGATGTACCGCTATTGAAATGGTAACATAAACGGTAACGATATGATGGTCATTAAGCATTATATATAATATATACCATCATATATCATAATAGATCATGAGGTTTCATGATAATAATAATATCATTGTATGGAAAAACTTGGCCTTCGAGACAAAATGGTATGTTCACCGTTATGAGTATTGTACCTATTGTTACTACCATCATCTGATCTTTTTGATATGTTCATCTTCTCATGGATTCAGAATGAATGACTATAAACTCACAGGGAATCACGGTAAACACCATAGCATCAACTAACAACATGCCTATTAATAACCATGAATAGTTAATAACATTTCAAAATCCTGATCAAAAACAAATATAGTAATCATCAACCAATGTATGATCCTAATCCCTATATACCCTCTGGTAAACTAACATAGCCATGGAAAGATCCACCATGTTGATTAGGTAAATCCACGATTTCTATGACCATGTTCAATAGCTATGTTACTAATTACCAGAGGGTAATAACAATATAGAACATTTTTGTTCTATGATTATTAACAAATGTATGATACTAATCCCTATAAAATAACAATATAGAATATATAACCCTCATCCTTCATCCAAAAACTTCCTCGTCAACCGGGCTGCAGTGGCAGCCCCTGCCATGGAGTTCTCCAGTTCCAGGATTTTGGCCTCGAAAGAAACGCGAAGCGCGAGGGCCGCGAACGGGGAACACTATAACTTGGTGACCTAAAGATGTGTTGATTTAACAACACGGTTCTTAACACATGTGTGTTGATTTTTGATTTTGATATTGATGTTGATTTGTGTATTGATATCTATTATATTTGATTTGGTTATCAACACATGTTTGAATGAAGTTGGTTATCTAATGTTATCTACTGGTATAATTGTTGATATTGAATTAAATCAATTTGATTTAAATGATACAATAACCAAGCAAAATAAAGTGATCTGGACTTCATTTGGAATTGTGTAACAGTAACACTTCTTGAAATTAAGCATGTGATGTTGATATATGTTGATATATGTTGATATATGTTGATTTATGTTGATATATGTTGGTATATGTTGACATATGTTGATATATGTTGATATATGTTGATATATGTTGATATATGTTGATATATGTTGATGCATGCTCTTTCATGACTCCGTTTATTGGTGGGTAGATGAAAGAAAACACATCCATAGCAACCCACTGTTTAGTGGTCACAGCCTTGTTTTCATATCTGTTCTAATCTGGTGTAGGCACCTATCTGACCCTGACTCTGGTAAAGCTCGCCATGAAATCTGATGCATGCATCTAAAGTACGTATGGTGAAGTATGGTGAAAACGTGTTTTCCTAGCTTGCCTGGTCTTCCTTCTGGCCTCATGTCATGTATTGGGTCATGAAGGGATCCCAATCTTTTGCTGTTGCGTGGCAAAAAACAAACAAGGCCATGTAGAGCCATATTGTGTGGATATATGCAGGCAATAAACAAATGTTCCTTCTGAATCAGGCCATGTTCCTTCTGCTTCGTCAGAAACATCGATTATATAACCAGTCCACAGCTGTTACGCCATGCTTTGCCCAATGCAAAGCAGCTGCTGTTGCTGGCCATGTTGATACAGGAATCCTCAACTGTCAATCTTTTCACCAGGAAAACCAAACTTCGGAGGCTAATAGCACATAATCACAAACAATTTACCTTGAAAACTGGGGAAATATCATCGAACAAAAAAAAAGGTGCCGCACGTCGTACCAAAAAACTGGGTACTGGGTACTTAGATGGGCCATGGAGTTAGTTAACTAGTTAGTAACTGGGGATATAACCTCCTATATCCCAATTATATTCATTTTACTAACTAGTTAACTGACTCCATGGCCCATCTAAGTACCAGTGTAATTATAACTCTCTCTCTCCTCCACTGATGTCCCAGTGTAAAAGGATCCATTTCCATTTCATTTGACGTCTGCAAAAAACTGCGGATGGTTGCGAAACCCCCATCACCAGTTGGTAACTCTTGACTGTGAAACACTTAGTAAAGAATATTTTACAAATTTATACAATATATGTCAATATATAATATAATATAATATAATGTAATATGATATTATATAGGAACAATATATCATATATATATATTATGATGGCGTAGACATTAAATAAACCATGGGATGTTCACCAGGTGATCCAACTGGGCCAACTGGCGATGCCGAAATCTGCCAGCTTGGCGCGGGGGATTACCTCCTGCCCGGTTGACGAGGAAATTTTTAGATTCTGAAGGATGAGGGTTATATATTCTATATTGTTATTGTTTAGGGATTAGTATCATACGTTTGTTAATAATCATAGAATATATGTTCTATATTGTTATTACCCTCTGGTAATGACTAACAGTTTGCTACTGAAAATGGTAATGTTCGTTGATTTACCCATGAAAAATTGTGATTTTCCATAGTTATGTTAGTTTACCAGAGGGTATGTAAACTACCAACATGAGGCCATACTATAATGATCTATAATGCATAATATGACAGGATATGATCCAGGCCCGTTATATTTTACACGAGCTTCTGGAATATCCGAAAATGATCGAAAATGAAGGGCGTACAGCACCTTTTCAACACCGCACCAATACCATGAGATTGCATATAGTTTTGTCCGTCGCCGAAATGTGGTGGTACTTTAACTTTGCAGCAGGAAATCTCAGGAAATTCCAATAAGGGAATTTGCACGTCAACCCTGCTAATCACTGAGATTCCTCAGTGCCGAATCCCAAATGGGCATTCCATCTGCTAGCCCTTCGCTAAAGATCCCATACTCAACCTGGGTTTCTGGAGAGGTGGCAAAGAAAATAAAGAACATATTTATCATGGGTACAACCTAATTTTTGATCCAAGCAAATTGTTTGCTTTTGATTCAGGTGGCCATTGCTTCCAATAACATCCAACATCATCCACTAAAATCATCCACCAACATGACGGTTTGCCTTCTGACAATGTAACCATGGCTATTGAACATGGCCCATCTATCTATAGTACTTTGAACCTCCTATTATTATTATCATTATTATGATTTTTTAACAGTATTAAATATGTTTAATATCTATGAATGATGACTTTGCATAACTATAAACTGAGCTGCCCCCAAGGAAAAAAACAACGTCTTTACCAACCATCCAACCCAGCTGCACCTCTTCGAAGAGAAGGATGTTCGCCGGTTTGATGTCGCGGTGGAGGATCTGCAGGTGCCGTGCGTTGCGCCGTGTTCTTTCTTTAGGAACATGGGACGGGGAGAATACGTCACCTAAAATGAGGACAGAATGGGTATATATAACTTTTATACATTTGGACAGTTATATATATATTGTATATACACATAATGTGTATGTATGTATGCATGCATGCATGTATGTTTGTATGTTTGTATGTTTGTAAGTTTGTCTGTCTGTCTGTCTGTCTGTCTGTCTGTCTGTCTGTGTGTGTGTGTCTGTGTGCATGTATGTACGTATGTACGTATGTACGTATATGTATGTGTATGTGCATGTGTATGTGTATATGTATATATGCAATAATATTATAATATAAATAACTAACCAATGGTGATCTGGCAATGTAACACTTAGCTATAGGGAAGCCATGGCCAGCTTAGATCGATTATTGACCTATGAAAAATGATAGATTTTCATAGATTCTCCATAGCGAACTGTGAGCAAAGACAAAGGGCTACATGTTTTTCTCGGGATTTGTAAATGGATTTTCCAAAAAACACTGCTGGAGTGAAGATCTGAAGATGCGGCATTGAGGGGCCCTTTTTGCATAGGATAGACTAGAAATTATGCTTTGAGACCTCCAATCCATTGGATGACTCTTCGGGAGACAGAAATGAACATGTGATGCCTTCCATGCAAGCCATCCAAACGACAAAACGCTCTTCATTGCCCCCCGGACAAAGAATCAGTCGTTTACGGCTAGAAAACAATCACAACACCAAAAATGGGACTGTGCCACAGATAAGGAACAACCACAGCAACCAAATGGTGTTGATCGTTTTGATATTACTTATATCATTCCTCTCATTTCATATCTGTACCTTCCGGAAGCAAACATGGCATTGAAAAAAACAGCTTATTTTATTTATATGAATATAAAATTATGTAAAAATAATATATCGTCATATATCTGGGTAAATTAACATATTTCACTAACCTGAAATAAGGTCAGCTATGGGGATGAATACCCTCACTAACCATCATCTATGGTGAGGTCATAGTGAGGTCGTTATAATTTACCCAAATATATACATGTAAAAATCAATGGTGGTCATAAATATACATATATATATATATGTTTATTTATTTATAACACGCACATATATATATATATATATATCATATATATCATATACATACATACATACATACATACATACATACATACATACATACATACATACATTACATTACATTACATTACATTACATTACATTAATACATACATACATACATACATACATACATACATACATACATACATACATTACATACATACATACATACATAACATACATACATACATACATACATACATACATACATACATACATACATACATACATACATACATACATACATACATACATACATACAACATACATACAACATACATACATACATACATACATACATACATACATACATACATACATACATACATACATACATACATACATACATACATACATACATACATACATACATACATACATTACATACATTACATTAATACATACATACATACATACATACATACATACATACATACATTACATAACATAACATTACATAACATAACATTACATAACATAACATTACATAACATTACATTACATAACATTACATTACATTACATTACATTACATTACATAACATAACATTACATAACATAACATTACATAACATAACATTACATAACATAACATAACATTACATTACATTACATTACATTACATTACATACATACATACATATATATATATATAACATATACATATATATATATATAATAAGCGGTTAGATGGCCAAATCTTGACAGTGCTGATTTCACCTAGCCTTGGGCCGCAGCTGGTGCAAGTACGACAAGCCAGCTGCGATGTCCGAGCCTGACCCACGGTCAGGTGATCCGGGGTAGAGGGTATAACTTCAAGAGTTTCTGAGGCAACTTTCGAAGGAACTGATGAGATATGATGAGATATTTGTTTGAGGTGTTTTTCAGTAAACATGATCTGGTTGGTGGTTGAGCCCCTCTGAAAAAAAACATATATTATGGAAAATAAAAGCCATGTTTGAAACCACCCACCAGTGATGCGCCATGATGCACCTGGTTGAGCCACCCGCCCAAATATGGCGGTCAAATCTTGTCATCAGCCGGGTCATCCTGACATGGTCACTGGGCCTCTGACCGTACGAAACCACCTCCGGCTCGGGCATTCCAGCCACCTCCAAGTCGTAAGATGTGGAAATTTGAAGTGGGATTTATAGACTTTATATGACTTTATAGTAAATACAGATAGATACAGATATGGGAGTAGAGCACTGCATAGACAATGGAGGTTACAAACCAATGACATCATCACCTGGCAAGTTTGTTTTAGGTTTCCAGCCACCTTGGCTGACCTGACAAGCGGTAATTCCCTGCAGTAAATGTCAACCCCTCATTGGAAAAACAACATCTCTGGGAGGTGCCGCCTCAGTGGTTTCGCTGCACCATTCCTATGGCGATTCTGAGACGGGTCTACCGACGTGGGGATGTTGGTTGGTTGAAATGATGCGGAGTATTCTTATAATTTGTTGGGATTTACAGATCACTTAAGATCATTAGCCTATTAGCATCAGGCTAATGATAGGATTTCTTTATTGAGGTCTGTCGGAACTTCATTCTGCAAAACTGTGGTCAAGAATGATGCCACCTGCCGATTGGTGGTGAAACATGGAGCAGCACAGGGTGTTCTATGAAAAGCCAACCGGCAGGACCCCTTCCAGGTGACTGAGCGTTATCTACCGAAGTCCCTCACCCAACTGAGTGACATGTACCCATAGAAAAAAACAAGAAATATGTTCCTCCAAACAGGACCCATTAACCCAGATAATTGGTAAGATGTATGTATGTATGTATATAATTATAGGTGTGTGTGTGTGTGAATGTATGTGTAAATTCCAGTCATGATAAAACAACACACACAGTATGTATACATATCATCTATGCTAACTGTAAATATTTAATTTCTTTATATACAAACTCACCAATCTAGAATAGCGCGTGCAAATATATGTAAATCAACGTGGCAATGAAAGAACCCCTGCAAATGGAGGCTTTAATGGTTTTAATGATCTATAAATTGGCGATTTCCCAGCCACGTTTGATTACCGATGGACCAGATGCTGCTCCCGCGGAACACCAAGCGTCTTTGTGCTGTCGAATCCTGCGGAAAACCGGTGACATTTGGATGAGATGTATAGCCAACAATGGCAAGTGGCGTGTCTGACATATGAAAGTAAACAACTCATCCGGTTGGTGGTTTTAACCATCTTGAAAAAATATTAGTCAATGGGAAGGATTATCCCATATATTATGGAAAATGAAAAATGTTTGAAACCACCAACCAGTCATATATCCATGAGATACTTGGGTGTGTCTGAAAATGAACAGCTACCAGGTGGACAGCTGAAATAATAGCCTAGATAGCGTTCAGTTGATGCAAATAACTCCAATGTCGCTGGGGCACTAGTTGGCAATTTCTATAACTGTACTTACATTGATATAGATAGGGGGGCTATAGAATTGTATAAAACAATAATCTGGGTAAATTATAATATTTCACTAACCTGAATTAAGGCGATTTGGGGATGATTTCCCTTACTAACCATGATTTCCAGTGAGGTCGCAGTGAGGTCGTTATAATTTACCCAGAATAATAAACATAACATACATCAGCCTCGGGGTATCATGGCCAACTTGAGGGCCCCATGGGGAATTTTCCAGCAATGTGACTACTGTATTTAGCACAGATATATGCACAATTTCAACACTGTTGAACCTAACATTGCTTACATTGCTTCATCCTTATTCTTCGCCATAAAATGACGGTCAACTTGATCAATCGTATTCCCCTGCAGCAAACGTTAGTATTGACTACATACCTATCGGACCTATCGGCATCACCATTTGCAGCAACAACAAAAACTATTAAATTGCCATACGCGACCCAATCTTCCAAGGACCAAGGTTTTTCCAATCAATCACTGACCCTGTCCTCCGGCTGAGATCGCCTAAGGGAGCAAATTCCAACATCAGTTCCAACCTCAGGTGGTGACTCAAAAAAATCACGTGGTCAGTCATTGGTAGCCCACAACAAAATATACCATCTGGTTATTTAACATAGCCATGGAAAATCCCTCATAAATGGAGATTTTAATGGGAAATCATCTATAAATGGGCCATTTTCCATGGCTATGTTAAATAACCAGAGGGTAATATTTTGCTGGTTGGCTGGTTATAGCAAACCTCTAAAGGATTAACCTACCTATCATCCAAGCTTGGGGATGTTAGCTTTGAAACATGCCTAAATCAGAGCGCCAAAGAACCTTAACGACATGCATATGTTAATGTAGTGGGAGCAATTGAGTTCAAGAAATGTCTTTGAGCACGGAAAACTAATACTTAATTACTCTCGTGACGCTCGTGTTCTTGATTTTCCATACTTAATACTCAAGTTTACCCTCTGGTAATTTAACATAGCTATTGAACATGGTCATAGAAATAGTTGATTTACCCATAAAAAATGGTGAGTTTCCATAGTTATGTTAGTTTACCAGAGGGTAAAATATCTCAAGTTATGTTAGCTTAATAACCCCTAACAAGGTTTCCAGATATGAATTTTATAGTTTCGGGGGGGTATCTCGAGGGGAGGGTACTCAATACCCCCATGGTAACCATGGGGGTAGTTTCCAACACTCTCATGTTTTTGATGCTCTACTATCACGACTGCAACATCTGTCACGTCACTATGATAAACGCGATCCAACGGCCAAAGAAAGAACTGTTCCCTTTTTTCAAGGGGTTTTGAGGCTTTTTGTGAGATATGGCATAAACATCAGCATAATCCAGAAAACAATTGAGAAACACATCTAGATCATATGAATCATGCCAAGGCAAAGTGTGAACAATCTGACATGATCTGGAATCTGAGTATAAAATTCATCCAGATTTTGGTGAACACCGATTTGGGATGGATTCAACCTCAGGTAATCAAAGCTAAGGAAATCCCCAGATTTGAATATGGACAGCACCTAAGAATTGGCTGGTTTTCCATCTTGATACACCCTGGTTGTCCCCAAGTCCGCGGTTTAGCTACGTTTTTTTCTTTATCGTATCAACAGTCTGAGCGGATCTGAGCGGTTTGTGTTCGACTCATCCTTGGTGGCTTAAGAACTACCCATCCTGTCGACTCCTGCGGAAAACTCCAGTGATGTCCCACTTTTGGCATCGCACTAGCGGTCTCTTCGGTCTGAATGGAATATTGAACCGAACTGTGTGGTGGTGAAAACACGGCTACAAATGAATACGTAATAAATGAATAGAAGAGATGAACAAATTGTGGTTCATATCACCACGCTGGATTTGCTTCTCATCCCTATGGTAGATGGTACCAGTATCAGACCTGTCTATGTGAAACTGCATGTCCGATGGTAGCAAAGAAGTCAAAAAACTCCTTAAAGTTGGTTGGGTGTAGCTATGTTAGTTTACATGGTGGATAAACATGGACAAAGAATCGATGGATTTGGTCAAGTGAACATCCCACCATGCAATTCCATTCAGAAACATGGCGAGCATCTCAGATACGGCAGCTATGTGCATTGGTTTATAAGCCTCGTGAACTGTAGTTGCAATTAGCATAATTACACCCAAATTATTGGAGTTACAATGCAGCATAGTTAACATATGATGCTTATCTAGACCTAGCTGGTATGAAAATGTATGAAATTCACCACTCATGGCTCGAAATCAGCCCCATGATTGCTGGTTCAACCAAGGTTGATTGACTAAGAACAGTTTTCGTTGTTTTCACCACCGCCCCTAACCTGCTTCCCTCTGTGAAACCCGTGGGGGGTCGATGATTTTCATCGCCCTCAGTGATGCATTACATATCTGCTGGGCCCAGGCTGGGCCCGTTGTTGATCCCCTAACCTTGGATTCAAGTCTTTACTTTCTATTCATTTCAGGTATTGACAATCATATGTTTATTTTCATTATCAACATAGATTACCCTCTGGTAAACTAACATAGCGAACTGGAAAATCAACATTTTTAATGGATAAATCAACTATTTCTATGGCCATTTTCAATTTGTTCAATAGCTATGTTAAACTATCAACATAGATTCACCATTTCAATTCTCATCATTCCAGTTGCGTCTCCATACCGTACCCCGTAACCGTCTTCGTCTTGGCTCCCTCAGACCCAAGGATGCAGTCCTGCGGGTCTCAGTGAACAAAAACAGGGGAAGCAACGTGGGGCCCATGGCACCGTTCGTTAGATTCTGGTTGAGAGTATACAGTATACTGATATAATATGGTTAATAGTGGCCAATAAAGATATTAATATGTTAGTTTTAGAATTCAGATTTCTAGCGGATGTATCATGATGTATCTGCGGATGGGATGATCACTGAAAAAAAGTCCCATTTCGCCACTGTCATCCCCGATCTAAATCTCATCAGATGGGTTGAACAAACTGGGATGATTTCCTCCGCAAAAGCCATGAACAAAAAACCATTTGGTTATGACTAACATAGCCATGGAAAATCACCATGCTATTTATAGGTAAACCCTCTATAAATGGACCATCTATACCATGGCTATGTTCATTTCACCAGAGGGTACATCAAAAAAAGTGAGGCCATTGAAATCGCCAGAATCCCAACTCGGGACCCTCCATTTTGAATGGCCAAAAAACAAGACTTCAAACATGTGCAGGGTAGGGCCTGCCAGTTATAAGTTGGTTTATCATTCTATTAACTAAAGTTAAACTACAGTTATATCACCATGAACCCTAATTAACCAAGTTATTTGCATCAACTTCCCTATCGGATAGGGTGGCCTCACCTTGTGATTGCTGTGACGCTCTCATAATTTCTCCGGGAATCCCTGGTGTTTTCGCAGCAAATTTGATGGCAAGAATCCAGAACAGCCGAACCCCTGGCTGATCCATTCATCTTCTCTCGCAACTCCTGGGTGGCGGCAAAAAAAAACTGCGGGAAAACGTTCCTGTGGGGTCAGCCAACCCCATAGCGGTGATATGCATGTATATTTTAATATATATATATATTTATTTATTTATATTATATATAAATACGTATTCATTTATTATTAGAAATAGATATTGCATAACTTCTATAAACAACTAGGCTATCGTGAATTAGTGAGAATTATGGGGATTCAACCCTTGGGATTTAACCAACAAATGTGAGGATCGAATGGGAGCCCTTCAAAGGAGGTCACCATAGGTCACCTGTGGGGTCAGTTGGTTGAAGCCCAATGAATGATATCTGACTATAGCAACCCACTTATATCCAGCTATTGATGGAATATGGGTTATACATATATATATATATGTGAATGGGTAACCTGGTAACTGGGATGCACATTGAGGCTAACTGCTGAGTCCAAGGCAGTTCAAACCATCCTAAATGATTGTTGGCGTATCTCTGGCGAAACCCCTGTTTGGTACCGTTTTTTGGATGCAAAATGACTTCCACATTCTTGGCTACTAAGGTGGTTTGTCATTGGTTTCAATTTGCTTTGTTAAAGGGGATGTCTTCCATTGACATTTACCAGTTGTCAAAGGGATTCGTATTATAACTTGTTATTACAATACTCAATGATGCAGCGGGGTTCTTGCTAAACCCTCTTCCGAAGTCCCTTTCTCGGCATGGGACAGGTAATTACCTTTTCTTTTTTCGAGAAATATTTGCTGATCCCTACGAACAAGAAACATGTTTTCGCAGTATGTACCTTAATATACATATATGTATGTATGTATGTATGTCTGTATGTATGTATGCATGTTTGCATGCATGTATGCATGTATGCATGTATGCATGTATGCATGTATGCATGTGTGCATGCTTGCATGCTTGCATGTATGCATGTTTGCATGTTTGCATGTATGCATGTATGCATGTATGCATGTATGCATGTATGCATGTATGCATGTATGCATGTATGTAATGTATGTAATGTATGTAATGTATGTATGTATGTATGTATGAATGTATGTATGGATGGATGGATGGATGGATGGATGGATGGATGTATGTGGAGGTGTCCAGCGTTTGGGTAACCCCCAAATCATCCAAGTCATTAAACTAGTTTAGTATTGAAACGACCATGCGACTTGGGGATCTCCCATTTTAGGAAAGGCCCATCTATGTATAAAAGGTATATATTTATATATACATATCTATATCTATATATATATATATATATCCTGGTGTTTCAGCAGCAGTCTCTAAATGCAGCAAAGGAACGGAATGGCTTAGACCCTGTTCGCTCAAGAATCCTTGGCTGCGGGCTCCCAAGTGCCCAAAGGGGCCTTCAGAAAAGAAAACTTATCCCAACATGCAAGCCCCATTATTAACTATCCTATAATTGTGTGAAATTCATGTCTAAACCAGTTGTTATTCAGATAACATAAAACAGGTAAATATGATACGGGATATCAAATAAATATATAATATATGATCACAAACCATAATTATGGAGATTCTTCAACAAATATGTCATACCATGGGGGAATGACCATCCATTAACATCCATTAACCATCTTAATGCTGGTAAATCAACGTCATAAACCGGTCATATAAATTGATGGCTCATCTGTCCATATGAAGTATGAAATCTAAACTTCCTTGGATAATGACTAATCAACCATCATTCATCAATTGTATCTTCAATATGTTTGAGGTTTTTTGTTTAGCATATTTGAAATGGTTGCTTTCCCCATTTATTAATCCATCAGCAATGGTATTTTCAATGTCAAACCTAGGAGTTCTACCCAGCTGACCCAAAAAAACCCGACGTCCCAGATTCGCAGGATCTCATCCACCATCCTGTTGCGGTCTTCCGTACGGTCCGACTCCTAAGACCCGCGGCGGTTGTTTGTTTGTTTTTTTTCGGCGAAGGCTTCGGATCCAAAAGCGAGATCTCATTCCTAGAGAAATCACCCCAAAAAGGATAGAAAAGGATCAATTTACCACTATGTTCGTAGAGTTTTGCTGTTCAAACTTTTTTATCTTTTTTGGGGGTTGCTCTATGTATGCCTGGAATCAAGAGAATGCGGGACCACGTGACGCCTCCCTAGACACTCCATCCACATTCTGTCAATCTGCAGGCCAAACTCTAGGAAACGCATACATTCTGGATAAATTGACATAGTCAAAAAGTATTCATAAGCTAACCTGAAAAAAAACATTTTGGGTTAGTGACCTAATAACATGCCTGGCAGTGACGTCGCAATGAGGTAGCTACAATTATATATTTACCAAAAATTTCATAGAACAAAATTCGTCGCAATGGGGTAGTTACAATTATATATTTACCAAAAAAATCATAGAACAACAAAATTTTCCCTCAGACCCAAACGAGAGCACATTGTTTGAACCAAACCAACACAAGTGGGGACCTCAACCTGCAGAATTGGGGAAACCTTTGGTTGGACCCCTCCCCACCAAAAACCCAGGTTTCTTGAAAAATGTTGTTGTTTATTTATTTCTTTATTCTTTATTTATTTTTGTTTATTTTTTTGTTTTTTTTTTTTTTATTTATTTATTGATTTGTGTGTTTGTTTGTCTGCTTGTTTGCTTGTTTGCTTGCTTGCTTGCTTGCTTGTTTGGTTGTTTGTGTGCTTGTGTGTTTGTGTGTTTGCTTGTTTGCTTGTTTGCTTGTTTGTTTGTTTTCTCTAAATTTTGTGTCACAGGACCTCTGGGCAATTGTTCGTTTGTTTTCGTTTGCTTCTCTCAAGATTCATTGATGTCTTTTGGTTTTCATATTAGTATGATATAGCATCCCGTGCGGAAGATGCAGAGTAGCAACATGTCGATGTAGTTACGCTGTGAAAAGAGTCCAATTAGTTGTCCTTCAACAGGAAATGCAATTTCCTTTGAAACAATTTTCATTGGAAGATGTGGCATTCTAGTAAACAACCTCAAGAAGGTACCAAGGTTTCAGCGTCAAGATGTCTATGCAGTGCCTCTCAAAGCATGCAGTTAGTAAGAGAATATAGCTTAGTATTCACCAAAAATACGTTTAGAATATTCCCCAAACGAGTACAAAGTTGAAGCAAATGTTTTTTTCCACTCAAGAAAACTGCAGTTTCTTTCTCAAAGTGCCATGTTCCTTTCAACAGTGCTGCATTATTTGAAAGGACAGACATTTCCTTGTAGGACATGTATACATTGAAAACATGTAGCATGTGTTAAAACAGTGCATTGTTCATGCTGGACAGTGCATTACCAAAAAAAATACAACAGGAATAATCCTGCAAAACAAATAAAGCATATCATCTGTGACAAGGGTACTCCTTTTCATAGAGCATCGTCTTACATTGGGAAAGTGCGGCATGGTTTTGTGCAACAGTTATATAACCCCTTCCAAAGGAAAGAAGCACTTGATTGAAAACAAACGCAATTTTCTCATCCTCAATAAAGGCTTCCCTTTAATGTCCGCCTGAAACAATCAATAAACAAAGGCTAGACCTCTTCAAAAGCAAGACTACACCGCTCAAGGTATATGAATGTCTTTGCCTGGAAAACTGCTTCCTTGAAGGAGTGCTGTGCTTCCTTCAACGAAGACTGCAGTTTGCGAGCAAAACGCCCTTCTTCGAAGGACTCTTGTCCTTTTCAAGGAATGCCGCACTTTTTGACAGAAGTGGTGTGTGGTAGAGCTGATTTATCCAAGGAACTGTGTTCCATTGACGGAAGATTAGATATTTTGGAGATTTGTACTGAATCCTGCACTTTTAAAAGGAGTATTGTATGTTAAAGACTTTGCATATTACGTGGGAATATCGCCTCGTACAAGGACGCCGTGTCATTGAAGGAATCATTTTTATAGCCTGTGGAACCGATCATAGAGACATAGAGAGGGGTGCAAAAGATTGTTTTAGGTAGATCATGTGTCTCATGGGTGTCGAGCATGTGTGAATATATATATATATATATATACCAGTAGTACCGCACAAGGCGGTGGCGGAAGTTTCAGAATAGGAAACCTATAGGAGACGTTGGTTGTTGTGAATCACGGATGGCAGAGCGAATCCACTGATTGACCGAAAGGTGGTTGGAGTTGTGTTTCTGGAATGGTTGCAATGGTTGCAGTGGTCACCTCACCCACAACTGCTGGATGTAGTGTGATGCACTGCAACTGTAGTTGTTGTAGTTGTAGTTGTAATTGTAGTTGTTGTTGTTGTTGTAGCTGTAGTTGTTGTGTGGTTGTAGTCGTTGTGTAGTAGTTGTAGTAGTAGTAGTAGTAGCAGTAGTAGTAGTAGTAGTAGTAGTTGTTGTTGTTGCTGTAGTTGTTGTAGTTGTAGTTCTAGTTGTAGTTGTTGTGTAGTTGTAGTTGTAGTTGTAGTAGTAATAGTAGTAGTAGTTGTTGTTGTTGTTGCTGTTGTTGTTGTAGTTGTTGTAGTTGTAGTTCTAGTTGGAGTTGTAGTTGTTGTGTAGTTGTAGTTGTAGTTGTAGTTGTTGTAGTTGTAGTTGTTGTGGTTGTTGTTGTTGTTGTCGTTGTCGTTGTCGTTGTTGTTGTTGTTGTTGTTGCTGTTGCTGTTGCTGTTGCTGTTGTCGTCGAAGTTAGGGTAGTTAAGTGAGTCAAGTTAGTTAAGTTAAGCAGTGTCTACTTTTTCGACATCTTCACGTCAAAAAAGGCTCAAAACCCTCAGTTTTTTACACTTTTGACTTCGAAATGTGCTTCGTGCCACAACGGCGTGCACTTTTTCGACACTTTTTCGACATCTGAACCTCCAAAAGTGGTCCGAGCATGGTGTGTTTTGTACATTTTGACTTCAAAATGTGCTTCGCGCCACAACGGCGTGCACTTTTTCGACATCTCAACTTCCAAAAGTGGTCCGATCCTCTAGTGCTTTGTCCATTTTGACTTGGAAATGTGCTTCGCGCCACAACGGCGTGCACTTTTTCATGTCTCATCTGGCCAGCTGGCTCCGCACCCGCCGCTTTAGCGCCTACTTTTCGACCCTCCGGAGCCACAAACCATTGGAAAAACACAGTGAATCGCGACTTTCCTACCTTTTCGCGCATCTGCATCTTCTTTCTTCTGATCTTTTCTCTTCTGACTCTTTTCACCTCTGCTTTTCAACTGTCCATATTGTCGGAAGTTTCACTTCTAAACTTCCTTCGATAATTATATTCCATATGCTCCATGTATGGAATATTTACCTACATTTACCCCAAAAATGTCCCAAATGTAGGTAAATATCCCATACATGGAGCATCTGGGTATATATGTATATATATATATATATATGTGTGCGTGTGTGTTTACATTGGTTCGTAACCGATTACAAACTGGGATGCGCATCCATGCAGTCAATTGGACTTGTCGGCGAATCTTAGATACCCTGCTACGTAGATGGGCCATGGAGTTAGTTAACTGGTTAGTAAATGGATCAACAAATTGGGATTGTTTGGGGGTAACAAATCCCCAGTTACTAACCATAACCAGGAATCGCGTTTTTCCGATGGCCCATCGGAGTACTGCAATATGTTAGTATCACTGGCAATCTAACATGGCAATGAAACTATGCATTTTCCATTGTCAGTTGCCATTTCAGATACATAAACTCGAGCTACTGTACCATATAAACAAATATTTCCTCCGCCTGCCAGGTGAGGGTCTCTATATAGATTTCAACAAAGGTGCTACTCCTTCTCCTTCTCCTCCTCCTTTTGTCCTCCTCTCCGCCTTTGCTATGCCTTGTGACCCGAACTCCATATCACCAGCTCCGGATGCTGTGGGCCATGCATGGACCCGAACCTCATATCGCCAGGTGCTGATGCAGTGGGCCACGCCTGCCAGAGAATGCCGAACAGAATGCCAAGCACAATGCCAAATAGAATGCCAGATAGAATGGCAGAATAGATGCCAGATCGGATAGAATGCCAGAGAGAATATCAGAATATATGCCAGAAAGATCCAGAATGTATGTCAGAAAAGATGCCAGATAGAATGCCACAAAGAATGTCAGAGTATATGCCAGACAGAATGTCAGTTCGAATGTCAGAAAAAAAATATATATATATGTATGCAATATATATATATACTTCCAGATAGTATGTCAGAAACAATTTGAGAATAGTGTCTCTGGGTGGGGAACAAACGAAGAAAGTAATTTGATGGCATAGCCTATCTTAAATATATGTTATGTGTAATATGGTAGGTATTTCCAATTTACTTACCCTAACATAGCTATGGAAAATGGCCCATTTATGATTTTACCTATTAAAAGTGGTGATTTTCCATAGTTATGTTAGTTTTCCAAAGGGTACCTGACATGGCCATTGACATTGCCATTGGCATGGCCATGATTCCCAGAGCCTCGTGGGTCCAAAAATTGGTCCAAGGGTCCCGTGCGTAGCCCTTCGTGGCCCGCACCAGCGCTTCTAGGATCACCGCAGGGTCATGACGCAACCCGTCAGAGGCAAATTCTGAGCGCAGAATTTGTGTGCTGCTGCCACACATGGGATGCTTTACGTGCGGGTGAAGCATGGAAAAATATGGAAAAATGTGATTTTCCACCCATCAAACAAAGCTGGAAAATCCTGGAAAATCCAAACTGTTGATGGACATTGTGGGGTAGTCACAAATGGATGATTCCCCAGCCAGTCTGGGTAAATTACTAAAGGGTAAACGGTAAACATCAAACCGACCAAGAATGGGAGTTGAGGGTGTCGATACCAAATTTGATGGTTGAGGAAGCACACGTTCCAAAATAACAGTGCCGCAGCTTGGTGTATATCCTTTATCACACATTATACTCCCCACACAATATCCTTGTGGGAAACATATGATATGATGGGCCCTTTTTGTTCTACCTTGATCATGTTCTTAATGTTCCTATTGGTTGTTGATTCCGGTTACCCGCCGTTGTTGATTTTGGTTCCCCCCTACATCAAGAAGTCAACCATGAAAGGATTTGATCAATAAGGTGTCCAAAAAAATATGAAACCCTTCCCCAAAGATTCCCCAGGTGGAATTCCGAGGATCATCCCAGGTCGAAAATCAATGAACGATGAATTGGCATTCTATGTATCAAATAATATTGTAATATATGGTATATGATATATATATATATATTATATATATATACATTATATACCATATTAAATTCATACATCGTGAAATTGGAAAAAAAAAACACATGCGTTTGAAACCTCAGGAGCTCTGCAGACTCGGACGACCAATGGATAGTTGTTGGATTACATCCCTTGGGAATGCGTCTGAATCACCCAAAAAATGGTCGCATGGGCCACGTCACCCATAACAATCATATTATATGTCTATAATATAAACAAATAAATAAATACATATATATATATATATACATAAATGATCATAGATGTATATGTTTGAATATGTCAGCAATTAAGAAATGTTCAAAACCCTCTATCCTCCTTGTGCACTTGGTTAAGAACTGATTTCTCTGTTCATGGGCTAATTTGTGTGGACTAATGTGTGATCATCCCCAATCTTCGACCAGTTTTCACATGTTTTCACCATGTCTAACCCCATATGGATGGAGGTTTCCTAAAATAGGGATACCCCCAAATGGATGGTTTATAGTGGAAAAGTATGGAACATGCCCTTCAAATAGATGATTTAGGGGTACCCCCATTTCAGGAAACCTCCATATCATGATCATCATCAAACCCCCCCCGAGCTGATCACACCCAGTGTCCAAAGGCGCGTGGGTCCGATTGAATGGCCATGAGGACCAAATCTTTTGAGTCGCGCCTCGAAAGGCCGCCGGGAAGCACAGCGTTTCAAGTTGTTGCAGTGGTTAAAGTTAAAAAGTTGCAGCACAAGTTGCATACTTATTGTTGTAGCAATGGGGTAGTAGCAGTAGTAGTAGTAGTAGTTGTTGTTGTTGTTGTTGCTGTTGTTGATGTTGTTGCTGTTGTTTCTGGTCCTCGCTTGTGCCGAACCAACATCAATATAGGAAAATAATGAAAGATGCACATGAATTATATCAACAAGCAGCTACCAGCATATGGTAATATGGAACATCAACTTCCAAATGCAACACTAACTCTTGATGAGCTAGGGTGTGGTCCGTAAAACATTCAGGAACACTAACTCTTGCAATGACAAGTGAGACGGGCAAGGGCACCTCCACTGAGTTCGTGGGAAATTGTCAACTTCCAGAGCTGCGAAGCTGGTAAGGCAACAATGGGAACTGGAACCAGCCATGGTATCACTGGCTATGTCTCTCCGTTCAAGTTGTATATATGCACGCATGCACACACATGTATATATATATATATATTTGTACATGTTTTGTCGCATAGGTATATGGGTATATGCACATTATATATATATATACGGTAACTACATTTAAATATACGGATTTTTAAATATACGAACAGGTATTTTAGACTACCTACGGGAAGGTTTTCCTTGGCCTGCCCAGCCATTTAAACATACGGAATCCAATTCATTTAAACATACTGCAACTATATTTAAATATACGAACTGGTATTTCATACTACCTCCGGGGCCTCGCGGTCTGGCCCGCCCTCCACATATTTAAATGTCGTTACCGTATATATAGCATTATCCAAAGATGCGTATGTAAATGTAAAATATGTATATATATATATATGATGAATTAATGATATAATATAATGCATATGAATATTTATGATGTTAGGCACCACAATCATTTTTGATCCTTGCCACCAATTTCATCGGTTTCTGTGTCTACTGTATCTTGAAATGTCGGCTTTCCACACACACACACACAGAAAGAGGTTATACCCGGCAGCCACCTGGTCCCCACAATCTGGGTAAGCTACATCTTCTCATCCGCAAACTCGAGCGCTAAGCCGTCAGAGTTCAATGCACGACGGATCACCTGAGGAGCTCAGTGGAGATAGGCAACCTTCTAAATCTGGTTCAAATCTAATTGAAAGGCACAAACAACAGTTGCTACCAAAAAAAACCGGATGAATAAACCCCAGTTGACAAGTAATTATTTTGATTAGTTAGTGGGGGTTCTTCCATATAGTGAGTTCATTTGCCACACTCCCAGCAGGCCAGGCAAAGCACCTGAGGGCAGCTACGGAGCTCATCGGAGGCAAATTGCAAGGCGCAGCCATCCATGGTCACAGCCTCCAAGACGACGTCCCGATCGGCCTGGCATGTGATCCTTTCTGATGCCATTGGAAACTCCCGAAATCACCGTGCCTGGGATTTTACGTGGGAAATTTCCGAACCCCCGATGAAATACATTGAATACATGAATCTCCAATCATTGCTATATCTGGATACCTCCCAATTCGCCCATCACTGATATCCTCAGACAGGTGGCCACATGTGGCTGGAGCAAGGTGAAAGTGACCGATGCTCAACCTTAAAACATGTTGGAAACATGTGGGAAAGCACCAAAATTGTACAGATCCACATGTGCCACCATCAAAACCATCTGATGGTTAAAAAATATGGTTTCATCTACCCTCTGGTAAACTAACATAACTATGGAAAATCACATTTTTTAATGGGAAAACTCACTATAGATGGCAATTTTCAATAGCTATGTTAGTTTACCAGAGGGTACCTACTCAAACTGTGAATTCATGCTGGTCATGTAACGTAGCATATAACTTGGCTCCACGACTTTGCCACACACCCCATCGCCCCCTTACATATTCAGTCACGAAGTTACGGAAACTGTGCTAAACATATGGCTGTATCCATTCATCCCATCCCTAATATTAAACACCTCCCAGAAACCATGGTACAAGTGGATTTGCATATCTTTTGGACCATACAATATTCAATAGGTTTGTGAAAAAGTATTAGGGAGATGGGACTAATTAATTATATAATATAGTTATTTTCCACTGATATCCTCTCGCCCAGTGCCCCAGTGCCCTGATGCCTTTAACTCTTCACTTGCATATTCAAGCGCCATCCCCTCTTGCCGAACTGCTGCCAGCACCAACTCCTTGTCGCCTGAGGAATCAGTTTTTTTTTCCCTGGTGGTCTTACATTTCTATCTTTTTCAGTGCTACTAAAATATACTATATATATATATATGTGTGTACTAATATATATATATATATATAAGTACATTTACATGCACATCATCATCACTGATGGCTTCACTCCATACCAATAAACAACCCATACGATTTCAACCGTCATCGCTCGTTGGTAGATTCAAGGCTTCCCAAACATAGTCGTCAAGAATCATCATCTCAAGTGGGATCAACTTGTTCAAAATGAAGCGACCTACATCACTCATTGTCCATGTTGCTGTGGTTTGCTCGTAAGTTCACCGAGCGTTGAGTTCCATGATTGGGATGTTTCAGCCATCTTTCACTGTTTGAAGGGAAAATCGTCCGTTTTCCCATGGTTTTCCCCATGGTTTTCCCCATTTCTATCGGGGCAAAGCCGGTTTCAACAAATTCGAAACGTGTTTTGCGAAGGATGACCTCACCAGGTCCGCTCCTCGCAACTTCGCAGAGGCATATTCCAAACAGGTGCCTTCTTGTTGCACTGCACCTGGCTGTGAACGGTGTGAACTGTCATGAAAACAGCTCGGGAAATGCCGGAAAAATGGAAAAAAAACACATGTACTAAGTGAATTGGCTTTAGTAAATCCCAATGTCATATCCATTGGTTATACACCTAAAAGGTGGTGCCCTATGTTGACAAGGATTCATGGTAGGTATATGTAGTCCTATCAAACAGGTGAATGGTGTTTTTTTGTAGTTTTTGTATGTTTTTGTAAGGTACCCTCCAAACCAACATGAACCCAGCCAAGTTGGGGTTTGGAGAGTAGTTTCTACTAGAACTGGGTTGTTTTCAGGGGTCAAACTATTAAAGCCAGAGGGTATACCTCCATGATACCCCCAAATTGGTTGATATTACCCTCTGGTAATCAAAAGTGGCAATGATGACTTGGTGAACCCGGTGAACCCTCTCTAAATGGAGTTTTAAACGTTTTATATAATAGGAAAATCATCGAACCAAAAGGGGATTGTCGAGCAAGCCACGCTTGATTGCCGGACATTGTATCCAATTAAGATTCCTTTAAAATCTCATTAATCATTAATGAATCCCATTAATAATCAATAATAATCCAATATTTTTCTTGGTGGCCCAATTACTGTACGTATGTATATCCCTGGTTCTAAGTGGGGTAGGGTTAATCCACTTACAACTGGAGTTATAACCTACAGTATTTATTAAGTGGGATGAACCACCAAGTAAGCATAAGTAAGCTATTTCACTACTCTATATACCCACTATACCCCCTGCGCGAAACGCGACGCTTTCACGCGAGGCCAACGAAACTCGCCAAGGAGCTGAAGAGCACGTCGCGGTCCTGGTGGAACACTTCCGGGATGAAATCCTCGGCTGCTGAGCCACAACGACGCCATGTTAGTTACACCTCGATTGCCAGCCTCGATTTCCCCATGCCATACCATTCCTCGAGTCAGTGAGGATCAGTGGTCAACCCCCCTAAAGTTGGGAGATGGCCATGGTCATTGGAGGATCCTGACCCACGAATCGTTTTTGTGGTGAACGACCCTATACAAACTCGCCGTGGATCCTCCAAGTACCAACACTTAAGCAACGCTTAAAGGAAAGCAGTTTCCAACCCCCGATATTCGTGGCAGGTTGAGTTGGAAACACTTGGGGAATGGTAAACTCCGCTAAGTGGTCATGGTCGCCACGTTCCGAGGTGCAAAAGCTGATGGATAGCGCTCCACTGCTTCCATCACAAGCTCCTCGGCTGGGGGAAATCCTGGCTGCCCCACACGGGTCATGGGGGATATAATTTTGTTTTAACGAATATAATATAATGAATAAAGATATGGTGCCCATAGCACAGTTGGTTTAGTGAGCTTAACGATATTTTGCACATTTATGGCAAATGGTGGGTAAATAATATATAACCCTATATAATTCATGCATATTCATGGTGTTAAACCAGCAAACATCACTGGCTCGGGCACAACCTTGTGGCAGAAAACACTCCTCGGGTTTGAGATGATTTCCCTATTGAAAAGTGTGATGGTTCATTGCCACACTCGCAAGTGGATTACGCAAGGTTATCTCCCACGAATCCAGTCAGAGCTGTAAGGTAAACAAATGTGGCAACCCAAAACTCCTGGTGGTTAATCGGAACATCAAAAATGGTGATTTTCATTGACTTCCCATCACACTGCAAGATCAATAAACGGTATCCCAGTATACCCCAAGAAAGTCCTTGCCATAAACCAGACATCGGAGGAAACAAATACGGTCCTTGTCCATGACTTCGGGGTCGAAATGTTTCAGCGCGCTGCCATCGTATTTCACCTTACGTAGGCTCCCCAATGGGCTGATCATGAAATGTGGTGCTTGCGACCCAATGCCATGTCATTCGTCCAGTCCCAATTGGTCCAAAAACGTATGTGTCTCATATGAACTATCCCAAATAAGGTTTTGGCTGGGTTGGTGGATATTGGTAGATCATCATATCATATATTTCCAAAGTGTCACCACAATATTTTCATTGTTCCCATTCTATCACCAGAATGTCAGAGTATATGCCCAGTAAATCACCACAGTTAGCTGGTTATATAGGGGGCCAGATAATAGTTCTAGATATCAGCCTAACAGAAAAATATTCCCTATCTATAGCAATTAGATTCCCAGCCATGATACTATGGATGCAAAAAAAAACTGTACCAGTTGGTAGATGGTTTATCCCATTATAATTCCTTGATTAATAATAATAGTGTTTCATAGGAATCCCAATTGTTACCAATACTTGGTAATCCTGTAAAATCCATTAACTATGAAAATTATTGAAAATTTATTCTACAGTCACCGACAGAATTATGGAAAAAAAAAACGTTTCAATTTACAGGCGCCGCCTGTCTATGATAGAAAAGTTACGAACCTTTTTTTTTTCCATAATTATTTTTTCCATAATTATTATTTTTTCCATAATTCTGTCGGTGACTGTATTACCATCGATTCGCAATTTGAATGCATTTTAAGGGGGAATATTGAATTATAGAAAATATTGGGTTGATACTACATACTTGCATTTGCATACATATTTCCATAACCCCCAAAAAAAAACGGGTTTGAATTGTGGATCCATGACATGTCCAACAGGTGGAGCCCCAAACATTAATTATGGAAAAAATAATTATGGAAAAACATAATTATGGAAAAACCGGTCAATCTGCCCTAGCCCCCTGATTTCACAGGAAAAATCAATTATGGAAATAATGGCCACCTCCAAGAATTATGGGAGAAAAAAAAAGGTTCGGATCACTTCCGGGATATTTTGAACCCTTATGGGGGAAAAATCCAATTATGGAAAAATCGGACGCAGGCGCCGCCTGTCTAAGTTGAACGTTTTTTTTTTCCATAATTCTGTCGGTGACCATATATCCATGGAACAATATGGGTTCTCCAATAGTAACCCTTTGATCGTTTATATAATTAATTGATTTTACAACAGGTTTCTTCCATCCACAGTCTGTCCGGAAAAGATCACATTAGCTGGTTATACCCTCAAATGGCTACGTTTAATAGGGATGATGGTAATCCATTGAAACTGAGGATACTATCTTTTCGGACAGACCCATGATATGATTAAACTTGTGAATGTTTCATCATATACCCATGGATAAATAAAATCCATGATCGTCATATGTCCACAAATCGTCATAAAGGATTAACATGGATACTTATGGGATACCCTTGGAACAATATGATAAACCCATGATATACTAATACCGATGGGTACCATCCAGTAAACTAACATAAGTATATATGGAAAATCACAATTGTTATTGGGTAATTCATCTTTCTATATATATATATAAAATGGGCCATTGTCCTTAGCTATGTTACATTTGCTATGGAACAATAATCATCCAATATCATGGAAAAATCATATAATGGAAGCATAATCCAAGAATCTAATAATAATCCAGTATAATTCAAATAATAATCCAGTATAACATTACCATATACGGCCATATTTTCTGGGAATATTCCCTTACATAGCTCTTACACAGGCCTTATGGATGGTACCCTCTGGTAATTTAACATAGCTATTGAAAATTGCCCATTAATAGTGGTTTTTCCCATATAAAATAGTGATTTTCCATAGCTATGTTAAATTACCAGAGGGTACCTCCAATACATCAATACATCGGTTCCTTATCTGCCAAGGCGCCGCCAGCTTCGCCAGCCTCTTGCAGCGGCGCATCTCCTCCGGTACCACGCGCGCGGCCGGGGCGCCGCTCTCCAGCGCTATCTGTCGAAAGATAGACATATGGCGATCCCCACAACAAGAGTAAAACATAGGGAATATATAGTGAATATATAGGGAATGTTAATATATAGGGAATATTCTGGTAATATGATGGAATTAGGGAATGTATGGAATATAGATGAATATGGTGGGAATGGGACTATTTCAAAATTTCTAGTGAATATGATGCTAAATAGTACGGTGATATAGTGGAATACTAGACATGCATGATATAAAATCAGAAAACAGTGGGAAAAAATAAGTGACCATAAGTGTTTTTTCCCGGTGGGATACGATCAGCTGAATACATATAGGGCATATGATGATATTCTGGTGATATAGTGGAAGGTCCTAATGGAACGCCCCGAAAAATGCCGAAAAGTGAAATCCCACGGAATTCTGAAGTGGGAAAAAAAAATGGACCCTTTCGATGCTAGAATGCGATATAGCCGGAATATTTAGTATATCTAGGGAATCACATGATATTATGGTAATGAAGTAGAATGGGCACATGTATCTCCAACTAACTGATTTACTGGGAATACAAAAACGATGAAAAAGATAGATGTTTCCATGAGTAAACTCGAATCCTAAAATGCAAATGTGAAATCCATGTTCCTTTCTTGATCCTATAGTATAAAGTGTCTACGGCCCATTTGCAGCCCATTATTTTGACATTGCGCACAGTTATATATATATATACATATAAATAATTACACACATATATATATACATATATATATATATAAAGGTATATACATATATACATAAGTATATACATATATACATATGCATATAATAATCATTTGTATATATATATATATATGCATATATCCAACATTTTCTGTTGTGTGTAATTCCATTTCAGGGGTGGTCTTCTTTGCGTCAGCGGGATTCGTGGCTGCCTCAACAATCTCGATCTCTTCCTTCAGTTCCGCTGGCACGTGCCTGAAAATCCGTTGTAGAGATGAAGAAATCCCTGGGAATTTTGGAAGGAGATTTCACCAAGAAAAAAAGGAGGATAGCCCAAGCAATCATGAGGATACCTAAGGCATTTCTCTAGCCACATGATATCAAATGATTTTCGACACATTTGAATGAGAGATTTGTCCACGAAAAAGAAACTGGCAATTGAGGTAAAAGACCACACATCCTGAGGTTTTTTCACACTTGCTTTGTTGGCAGGTTCTACATGCTTCAACACATCCCTTTGATTGATCAGATCTGGTCACTCATCCTTGCTACCATAGCCTTTTGTATAGATAATAAATCAACACGCACACATACACAAACATGATGGAAATAAACCCCTGATATACTACATCAATAGGGAATCCACAGGAACACATTGCTATCCGTTGGTCGATATGGTGGCGAATAAACCGAGGCTTCGCCGCCGCGGTGCTTTAGGAGGCGCCAGTCCTGGTTCAAGACACTTCGGATGACCTCCTGCCGATAGTCAGCTGAATTGCAACACAAACATATTTGACCATATTTACACACACACTGCATATATGCACACACACACACTGCAGATATGCACACACACACATATATATAATTATATATAAGTATATATATTAAAGATGATGTGCACATTTGAAGACAATATAGATTGATATGATATGATAAAATATCACGCTCGGAGTCTCTTGCTTTTCAGCATGATGCAACGAATCCAGTGCAAGCGCACCTGGGTCTCACCAACGGAACATCGAACATTGAAAAGTGTCGCCCTGCGACGTCGCTATAATTTGCCCAAACCATCTTATATCCCATTGTATTCCCACTATGTTTACTGTTTTTTGATGTTTTTTGTACATGTTTGTCGGTGAAGTCTGAATAAATTTCCAATTCTTGCCGGTGAACAAATCCCATGGTTTTTCTCTCCACCCGATCACAATGCAGGTTCAATCGCCGCTATGATTTTCTCCGCTTTTTGATCCAAATTAGTTGATTTTTTTTGTGCTATTTGTTGCAGGATAAATCGCAATTTTGATGAATCCAGATCTCTCCTTGTCTCTTTGGACGTCTGGAGGGGCGTTCTGATACTTCTTTCCAATCCTGGACAGCACCTGGGAGATCCGTGTCATGGATTGTCATGGGAGATCCCGAGATCAAAAACGGAGGCTTTTGACGAGAAAATCATGGGAACATATTGGGAAATACAGTGGACATATATGTGAAATATGGGAAATACAGTATCTTTATGTATTTTTTCATACTGGGGCAATGATCTATAAATGTGGATGTTCCATGATGTTCCACATTTGATATTCCTGGAGGCTGCTCAGGCCATGGGATTCAGATTCTGCAAAGTCCTCCAAGCGGATTCTGCAAATGATATTCAATAAGCGGATTATCCATGTTATGCTAGGATCTAATCAAGTGGATTCTCCAGGTTATACTCAATAAGTGGATTCTCCAAGTTAGACTAAATGAATCAAACTTAGTATTTCATGAGACAACCATATACTCTAACCAATCAATTGGGATAAACATTACCAATTGCGATCCGTGGGGTCATTGGTGGTGTTCCAAGTGTAACATCAAACGGCGTCGCCGTTTACTGCTGTGCCTCTGGAAATGCAGCAATACAATTGTGTCAACGAAGTTGATTAATACGGTTGGTTCCCCCCCAAGAAAGAGATATTTCCCTTTTTAATATACTGTATATATATATATGTACGTATATATATATATATATATATGTACGTATATATATATATATATATGTACGTATATATATATATATATGTACGTATATATATATATAGATATATATATATATATATAGATATATATGTGTGTAATTAAAAAATAATTTATTATATCCATACATGATACACCCCCAAAATAGTAAGCTAGGGGTTCGATATAAATATGGAAAACATAGAGATGAATTAAATGTACCTCAGTGCCTGAATGCTGAGCGGAACAATGCGTATTGATCTGAAGATAAATTATGTGATGTCTAAAATCCACCCTTCAATTGCTGTTTATTCCCTCCCGTTGTTTCAAACATAGCTGGTTAAAAAACAAAAACAAAAACAACACATTTATTGACATGCGATTGGGATTGATTGGGAATCTCCTAGTAGCTCCATGGCTCATCATTCAATGGATGCCCAAATAGCTCCCTTCACCGCTCCCTCCTAAACCCGCCATAGATGATTAGGTCCACCATTTTCAAGACACAATAAATCGATACATGTTGATATCATATCCCACAATGCCCAGAATTGGTTGTTACCTTACCCCACTTATTACACTCCGGTAGTCAAACATGGCTTGCTGGAACATCCATCATTTATAAATGTGGTTTCAGATGAAGCCTCCACGTCAAGGATGTTCCAGCAAGCCAGGTTTGATTCCCTAGGCCCTAGGGCCATATGTAGGGTATCCCCATCTTGAATGTCACCGGAGGCGAGCCGCCTGTAGCCAACTCAGTTGCTCCGCCGTTCTGCGCACCAGCATCAGTTCCACGGGTGACGTGCCTCTTCAGAGGTGGTTCCAGCAGGGCGTTACAAAAAGGATTCAGCGACTTGGGGGATCATCCCACCTACATGGTCAGCTGGGCCCTGGTTATCCATTATCCATGGTTAATCACTGCCCATTTCCTGGCTTATTCCATTTATGATCCTCCAAGCGCCATATGTTTTTCCATAGGCATCCATAGGTACTGATCCAACAAACATCAGGGAGTTCACCAACTAAAGTTGTAATACAAAGGGGATATCACTAGTTAACATGCCTGGATTACACTCAGATGTGCATCCCACTAAGTAATCCTTTTCAGACCCATCTGTATGTGTATATATTACCATGTATTTATAACTGGGGGTATTCCACATGTAGTTGCGGTTTGATATGGTTATTTTGCCACTTACCAGTACTAAATGGATGCAACACGTAGGACACAATGTGTAGATCAAGACTGTATATCCGTATTCCAATTGCAGTACATTAGATCATGTCATTTTCCCATATAGGTTTCCCCAAGGATACCATGGCTCCCATGTTTCGCAAAATGGCTTCCACTTGGTTGGCGTTCCCGCAATTGGTAATTTATCCAAGCGGACAACACCTGTAACGTGGCAGTGGCATTTCCATATTTATAGCCTCTGGTAAACGTTTACATAACTATGGAAAATCACCATGTTTTATGGGAAAATCCACTATAAATTGCCATTTTCAATAGCTATGTTAGTTTACCAGAGGGTAGCTGATCTGTCCGTGAAAATCTCCATTTAATTTTTCGATTTCCAATTGCCATGTTTGAGTACCAAAGGCACAAAATCATCCCCCAATATCCAGCACCCAATCGCTTCCCCAAAAGGTGGTTCAAGGGTTTAGGCATCACCTCACAATTTCCAGCGCAATGTTGAAAATCCTATTTATTTCATTGGAAAAGTAGTGAATTATTGAAAGGATTATCCATTCATATGGAAAAATATAAAAAAAATCTTTGAAACCACCAACCAGTCATCCATTTTTAAAGGATCAAAAAATCCATCCATTGAGGTACCCCCATGGCCCCCCACTATGGAACCCCCGGATGCCACAACGGGTCACCAGCAACGAGTTGTCCAACCCGGATCAGCTCCAGCGAACCCAGGAACAAACGTTGCTCCAGGGCTGGGACCCCAGTGGATTCCTGGGAAATGGTGAAAATCCCTATGAGTTGAATGAAAGTTGAATGGAAAGATCATGGGAAAACCACGGGAAAAACATGGGAAAACCACGGGAAAACCACGGGAAAACCATGGGAAAACCATGGGAAATTGGTGATTTATATGGAAAACCACTATTTTTCTCAAATCATTCGGAAAATCCTATTGGTTTTTTTTGGAAGCTTTGAATGGGAACATCAGCAATTTTTACTGCAATCAATGGTGGATTTTCCAGCCATAACTCCAACGGCTGTGGTTTATGGCTACCTGCGGTTTGCATTAAAATGTTGCTAAACCATGCTAAACCTGAAAAAGAAGGAAACCGAATCATTTGAGTTGTAGTTTTTTGTGGTGTTTTTCTGATTGTTTGTTTTGGTCAAACTACTATAGAATACAATAATATAATTAGATATGTTACTTCTAGATAGCAAATGTTTTTGGTTTCTATGTCATGATTTATCATGATTTCAAGATCTTCATTGTGAATAGTTCAGCTTGGCAGGCGAGGATACTTGTCTCGGAGAAGTGGGCGAATTCTGAAAGCTGTTGCCCTCTAGGGCGAATTCTGAAAGCTGTTGCCCTCTAAAGCAACGTAGCTATGGGAAATCACCTTGTTTAAAATAGATCAGTTTCAATGGATCAGTTTCAATAGCCTGTTAAATTGTCAGAGGGTACATAAATTTCCGTTTTGGGGCTGATCATTCTTCCGTTTCCCACCAGCTAAGGGAAACGGCTGTCGATTCATCTGCGCTAATTGCTAATCATTTCCTTGAAACCAAACAATGCTGCAGGTTCAAACTAAAGCCGGCTAAGGGCTCACTTGGCATCATTCAAGAATATGATCCGGTGACAAAAAGTCACCATCCCAGGGGCTATAACCTGAGACTCAAGCTGCCAGCCTTTTTTCCAGGTGGAGTTTGCCTAAAGATTGTGCCCAGAAAGGAGCTGTTACTTCCAGTCTATAGAGAGTTCAAGTATATATGGAGTAATTATGACATATTGGATGCTTCCATTAGAGAGTTTAATTGTATACGTATAACCTGTACATATCACCTGCTGAAAACAATGCCACCCAAACGATTGATCCAGGCTTGAGATAGTTCACAACTGTCAGATTTGGCGAAGGCTACCCCCGTCCTTGATCGCTTCCTTGATATCTTCAATCCGGAGCCTCAACGACAACAGCAATCACTTCCTTGAAAACATCGAGAGAGTGCTCATGCATCTGATTCAATGATGTTTAAACATTTTGGAACTTGTTAAACTTTCGTGATCATGATCATCATCATCCTATTCATGTTCATGATAATGGTAAATCATCATCTTCTTCTTCATCATCATCTTCATCATCTTCATCATCATCAATGCAAGTGAAGCTAGACTCAAGTAAAAACATGTAAATAAATAAATAAAACAAATAAATAGATAAATATATATATATATATACATATGTTTCAAACTCCGGCTATCACACACTTATGGTCACCGACAGAATTATGGAGAAAAAAAAACGTTCAACTTAGACAGGCGGCGCCTGCGTCCGATTTTTCCATAATTAGGTTTTTCCCCATAAGGGTTCAAAATATCCCGGAAGTGATCCGAACCTTTTTTTTTCCATAATTCTTGGAGGTGGCCATTATTTCCATAATTGTTTTTTCCTGTAAAATCAGGGGGCTAGGGCAGATTGACCGGTTTTTCCATAATTATTTTTTTCCATAATTATTTTTTCCATAATTATTTTTTCCATAATTAATGTTTGGGGCTCCACCTGTTGGACATGTCATGGATCCACAATTCAAACCCCTTTTTTTGGGGGGTTATGGAAATATGTATGCAAATGCAAGTATGTAGTATCAACCCAATTGGTGGCTTGGCAAAAGGATACATCCCGCATATGTATGTACGTACAACAATGAGTTTTGGTGGTGCAATTGCTTTTCCTGTGTTGGTACCACTATGGAAGACTTAGGGGCATATACCAGATCTTTAGACACATATTTTCTATAATTCAATATTCCCCCTTAAAATGCATTCAAATTGCGAATCGATGGACATACAGTCACCGACAGAATTATGGAAAAAAAATAATTATGGAAAAAATAATTATGGGAAAAAAAAAGGTTCGTAACTTTTCTATCATAGACAGGCGGCGCCTGTAAATTGAAACGTTTTTTTTTCCATAATTCTGTCGGTTCCTGTATGTCCAATTATGCTTTTTTTTAGCCTCCAGGCGCACTTCATGTTTGCCAATCAGCGGATGGATAGGGCGAACAAATTATGGCCATGGCAAATCATGACTTTCTCCACCGTTAAACGATGTTAAACGACCACAGCCATTGAGGTACTATATATACCAGTTTTCTGAATCTGAGTGAACCATGCCAACATTGCTTGATTCTTGAGATGCTGAGTTTCCCTCCTTTTTGCTCCATGGATCGCAATCCCACCAGCATTTCCCTTTAAACCCATCAACATGCATTATTTTTAAGCTTGGGTTTGCTCAAGAAACCACCAAAAATCATGCTCTCCAATTGTAGTGGATTTCCCACTGGGAAAATCAACCAAATCATCAGCAATTCCAAGTATTTATTTGGTTTATATATCCCATTATAAAGGCCATCAGTTCTAAAGTTTCATAGTTCCAGTATGTGTGTTACAGTTAGACAATGCTAAACATATCAACATAAGCAACATAACTCATGCTTTCTTTGGAAAACACCGTGGTTTTTCCCGGCCTGAAGCGTTCCAACTTCAACTGGCACAAGCGCCCCGCGAGGCCATTGATTTCCAACTCCAACAGCTCTTCCGCGGCCATTGCTGCAGTTATAGACCTATCAAGGCCCTTCTAACTATAGATACAACCATCATACAGCCTAGTTCCATCGTTCAGCAACGATGCACCCATCATTCGGCGTTTGTTTGTTTTATTTTCTGGGGGTGTCGTTGGTTTTCAAAATCCATCTTAATTACCTAGTGATGGTTCTGAGTGATGGGAACTGTTCCTTATCCGGCAGCGCAGGCGGAATTTTGTGCGGTGTGTAGAAATGGAGAAAAAGCTCGTGGCTTCCTGGAAAATCCCCGTTGATGAAATGATAGACTATAGATAGTTTGTCCTGCTAAAATTCATTTATATATAGAGGATGTCCCATTGCCACGCCCATTATGGCGCCCGGAGTCCACGCCAAAAAAGAACACGAGCCGCTTGAGCGGAACCGTGAGCAGACCAGATTTCACTTCTATGGCCAAATGCGACTTGCTTGGTAAACAAACATGGAATCAAAGCAATTCCGCTAACATAGCTGATATCAAGATACTCACCACACAAGTATACCAGAGCTGTGTTCATTTGGCTGGAGGCGAATATATTCCCCAACATGACAACTGAGCTAAAAACTAAGCTATGAACGCTGCACCAGTCAGAAACTACCCAGCCCGGCTAAGAAAGCTGCATGGGCAATGTGCTTGACATCAGGCGAAAGTCGTAGCAGCGGAGGATCTGTGGACACTCCTAGTTCGGCTGGCGGAAAATGATCCCTACACGGCCCTTAAGTTCATCCTGAGAAAAAAACAATTTTCCACACTTGCGAATCATTGAATGCCTAGTGTGATCTTGCATGAGAAAACTATGAACCGGTGGATCTTGGGGTACCTTTTTTGGACAAACCCACTTAGATGTTCATCTCAGTTCATTACTATGTGTATATATATATATATGTGTGTGTGTGAGACAACCATGGAAATGGCCCAGTTAAACATAAGATGCCCACAGTTGGAAGAGTTACTGTCCACGGTTATTCAACTTGACTAATGACACATCCACGCCGAGATGAAATGGCAACCCCTAAATGTGACCCACAACAAAAATGATAACACAAAGAACAACATAATTCGATAAAGATGATGAGCCCCCAAAAAATATTGAGAAACACCAAGAAAAACAATTGACAATATATATATATATATATGTATGGTTCTAAAACAACTTCATCCATCATTTTTCACATGTACTAATTTCATCTAAATCCATGGAAAATCATCCCGCATCCCTATGTTTTTGTTTGGCAAACCACCAAAAAATCCTCCAAAGTCATCCCTAAAGCCTGGGGAAAATCATCTAAAATCTGTCTAAAGTCACAAGTCGATCCTTGGAAAATCAGCAAAAAAATCACGAAAAACGCATCGCTTCCTGCTGCTTGTTAAAGCTCCTGGCTGAGTTTCATCAGGAGCTGCGCCTCCTCCTGGGCCTTGTCAGAGGCCACCTTTTGGGCTCACTGCGCCAGGCGCGAAAATAATGCTTCTTTTTATAGGCGAATAGCTATAGATGGTGATTATAGCTATAGTTATTGATAGATACTACATGGATATAGATATATTATGATATATTCACATCTGTAGTTGTTTCTCCATTTTACCCATTTTCATAGGGGGGAATAGTTGTGCTACTTATAGAAATAGTTTTAGTAATGACTCTCTCTCTCTCTATATATATATATGCAATATGTCTTTGATCTGACCATAGCTATCTTAATGAGTACAGTATATCTATTCAAAATGAATACAGATATAATCATTATTATTTCCTATAGACGGTACTTATACATAGGATGGTGTTTTAATGCGTGTGTATATATATATATATACATTTATCTAAACAGTGTATACATATATATATATATTAATATGTATTGTTGTTATCGCTTGTTCGTTGTTGTTGTTGTGGTGGTGGTGGGTGTTTTCACAATGAGGACAGGATGGGGAAATGCATTTTGAACATGAGGATATTATATATATATATATAGTGAGGATATACTAGGGATATCATGGGTATATATATATATATATTAGGGATATCGGTGGTATCATGATGTTTCTTGGGTATACTGTATACTACTGTAAATGGTAACTGGGAAAATTATATGGATACATGTTGCGGTGTGCATGTGTGCAGGAGCATCTGAGCATGTTCACTCTTGTGTCCACAAATCACCTGAACCAAGATCCAAATGCAAACAATAATAGATATTCCCCAGATGCAGGCATCGTGCCCAAGTATCTAATGCTTGAAGTGTGGCTGAGTGATATCCTTCAAGTAGCTTGCAATCAAAAAGCCACAAGAACAAATTGGAATTAGTACCCGATAAGCTCTACGAAGAGGGTCGCCCCAGTCCTTACCCTTCTTGTGATCCAAAAAACCACTTAAATAACTTAAATATGTTTTCCGTTCTTAACCGTGTTTTTTTCGTAATCATAGAGTACCCTGTCACAAGTGTCCACTTTGCTATAAACAACAAACACATTTCTAGGATTTTCGAAAGTTATGGCCCATTACCAGTTATAAGTACTTATAACCCCATTTAAATGTATAATCCTAGAACTGTACTAATCCCATTTATGACTGGTTATAACCCCATTTATAGAATGTATAATCCCATAGAAATAACCAGCTATAACTAATAGCCATGGCCATATCTCTAGGGGCACAGCCTCTGAGAGTGGCCCCACACGCGCCTGGCACGTGGGGGTTGAAGCACTTCCCAATGAGAATTGGGATCAAATGGGTTAATATTGATATTATATATCTATCTATATATATACATATATATATACTGGTTGGTGATTTCAACTGAAAAATATTAGTGGGAAAGATTATCCCATATATATATATATATATATCTATCTGTATCCATTTGATCCCAATATGGACACAATATGATATACAAATGGGTTACCAATACAGTATCTATCTGTGTATACATATATATATATATATCTATTAGTGATATCCATCTGATGGGTTACACTGTATATCAGTATGGGATATTATATATCTATCTGCATATACATATATATACTGGTTGGTGATTTCAACCCCCTGAAAAATATTAGTCAATGGGAAAGATTATCCCATATATTATGGAAAATAAAAAATGTTCCAAACCACCAACCAGTATATATATATATATATGTGTGTGTGAACTGGGTTATATAATTAATTAACTGGGTGGAACACATGTATCATTGAAACAAATCTTATCAAAAAATGCACGGGGTTTACTCTTTAATTATTATAAGTAGTGTGTTCTCTAAGGAATGAGCCCATTTTACCACTGTTGAACGCTCACAGAGTTTCACAAAGGGATCCGAAAAGCCGAACTTAAAAACCCATGGGTGTCCAATTCAAAAAGCCATGGTTATATGGATGGAGACATTACCAAAATTGATACATCCAAATAAATATAAATTAAATGTACATGTATATATATTAATATTATATATATACAATACACGATATATAACATAGACATATCCAGACAGCTAAATAAAGTCTCCGGCCATCCGATAATATCTTGAGAATGCGGAAGACTGGATACTTAGGGAATTACAAAGCTCTCATCCCGAAACCTATTGGTTGGTTGAAAAGGGTTCCTTGTATTGGATTACCATCTGGTTATTTAACATAGCCATGGAAAATCACCATTTTAATAGGTAAACCATCTATAAATGGGCCATTTTCCATGGCTATGTTAAATAACCAGAGGGTATATAATTAATCCATACTCCTCACAAAACCAGTACGTGCGGTTCTCACCCGATTCCCAAGAACCAATCTGGCTAGGGAAAGTTTGCCACCCTGAAATATACATTTTAACATGCGGTAATTCAAAAATCCTTACCCTCTGGTACGCTAAGATTAAAAATAAGGAAATCACCAGATGGGCCCTCTATCCCATAGTAAACTGTTCGTTTCTGGGCCATTGTTCATCATGTTTCCATAGCAATTGTTGTCAGTTTCCTGGTGCCGTATCATCATTACTCCAGTTCGTTCAACATCACTGGGGCCCTGTGGCTCCGTACCTTTTGACGAAGCATTTGGGGCCCGGGCTACGTAGCTTCTTAGTAGTTGAATCCAGAGGGCTAGTGAGATATCCCTAGAAATTCCGTGGCTTCAATTCCGAATTATCGTATAAATACCAAAGGTTTCTCCAGCTATTCGTGGTAAATATCAATTATATAACCACCCTATGTATGTGTGTTTTTTTGGATACGATATCCACCTGGGTTTGTCTGAAAATAGGGCACCCCTAAATTCACTCGTTTCTCATTTTTCAGATGAACAACTTGTCATTTTGGGGGTGAGACTAACCTATCTTCAGACACACGTGTCTCAAATGGTGGGTTGGTCATAGCATCCCCATGAAATACCTCTTTTTTTTTAATGAATACACCATGGTTGCTTGCTGGACCTTTCGGAATTTCAATCCTTGAGGTATCTCAATGTGTTTTTTCTGTGGTGGGGGTAAGGTTAGTATCATGTTATTTCCCACAACGTTCCCAGGAACAAAAATGTTTTCCGTTTCCCATGTTTCACCAATGAAACAAAACAAACTCCCTTTTTGGTATCGTGTTGGCATCCCCACACGCTTCAAGGCCACCATTGAGCTGCTAGCCTTGGGATTTCGCTGGTGGAAATTGGAAGATGTGTCCCTTTTGTAAATTTGAATAGCAATATTAGGGGGCTAACTTTCTGTAGCAAATTTGGGATATCTGGATTTGTTTGAACAAAACTTGGAATTTTAGCCGGCAAGATCTGGGATGTTTGAAATTGTATGAATTTGTCATGACTCACCATGTGTATGTAGCCCAAACCTGATCAGTGAAAATCATTGGTCAAAATTGGGCCACTTGCATTTCTATGACTCACAACGTAGATCCGTTAGGCAGAAATTAAAGACTTTGACAAGCACAACTGGGGAGTTTAAACCAGGCATAACATCTTTGGGTTCCTTTAATTTCCTCTGTCCAGAAGCCACATAAGACAAAAGATCACATAGACAACCAAAATGTGAGCAGCGTTAAAGACAAAGATATTTATATATATATACATTGAAATGTTCCGTACAGCAAAAGATGAGGCCTCCATAGATGAATATGTTCACGAAAGATTAGGTTTATTGACTTTGTTTTAACACCGTACAGTAAAAATGGTTAATGATGTCTCCACAAAGTCCCTTTCTGTATTTACATGTCATACGTATTGTTTTTTCGGAGGTTTCCATTCAAATAGGGGTACCCCTAAATCATCATCCAGTCGTCATGGCATGGTTTTCACAGCGCCATGGAGCTCATCACACCGGAGGCTAACGTGGCTACTCTATATACCTGGTGTGGCGTTACATGAGGGTTTCCACTGGAAGGACCTCCAAATCATCAAATCATCCATTTTTAATATGTCTTTAAACAAATCCATTATAAATTGTAAATAATTGTAAACCATCCATTTTGGGGTATTCCCATTTATGCAAGGAAACCCCCATATTCCAACTTATGTGGCCGGTGAATACGATTGGTTATAGTTATACCCATTACACGTGCACAGCATCCCATTCTATACCCAGCCCCAGCCGGCAAAGTCATGTCCCGGTCGACGTTCGAAACTTTTTGGTCACCCAATCTTTGGCCGCAAAACGCGGCGTGGCAACGTGATGGCAGGAGTGCTTTGCAGTTGCTGGGTGAGTCGTGCCTCTGATTCAAATTGGACACCCTGTTGGAAACCGTTAAGACAGTTCAGACATGTTCAGACTTATGCTGGTTGGTGGTTTCAACCCCTCTGACAAATTTTAGTCAGTTGGGATGATTATTCCCAACATATGGAGAAAAAAAAACCGTTCCAAACCATCAACCAGTATGATATTTATCTTCCTCCATACTTTCATGGTAGAAATGGATCCAGATCAAAATCAAATCTGGCCCTGTGGATTGTGTGGGGTAGTGGCGGCGTCAAAAACACAAGCGTTCAAACTTTGTAGCGAACGCCGGTCGAAACATGCAAGTTAGTGATTTCACATGATTTCACCATCTCAAACCAATTATCCTTCTGGAACAGGACCATGTTATAAATAAAATGACATTACATGACCATGGGCACGACATGAACATAGCAGCTTTGCCACCCCCCAACCAACTCCAGGTAGCACTCCTCCCTTCAAAACCAGGCTCAAGAACTGAGCCTCAAACAAAAACTGGGGGAAGTTGCACAGTTCGCAACTTTCAAGTCTCTTGCAGTGCGCCCGTGGCGCTTCAAACTTATCCTGGTACAAAGTCGTTGTATAAGCTGTAACCGGCCTCAGATGAGCAGGGTCACTTCTGAATTGACAGGTGGGATTTCAACCTGATGCCTCCAACAGAGGTTTTCAATCGGATTATATAGTATGACAAGCAGAATAACCAACTTGACACTAAGAAATGACATAAGATGAATGTTTCCCACTTCTGATATAATTAACTAATCAATCGTGTTCAACAGGGGTATATCAATGGCACTACAGGCCACTGCAGGAGAAGGCTCCACAAAAATTGGGGAGTTTCTTAGGCACCGGAAGACTGGCAAAGTCATTTGATGTCCCAAAGTGCCGAGTAGAACATCCAGCGGCCTAGTGGAATCAGTTCTAGATACTTTCAGATCTGTTACAAAACTATATAATATGGGATTTTTTTGGTTGTGTATGAGAATCATTACAACATTCGGTTCAGAAATTCAGAAACCAGTTCTGCCAGTGACCAGGAAACGGCCGGAAACGGAACCTATCGGGTGAGACCTTTGTACAACTCAAGCTCCTTGCGGCAAATGTGGAGACGGCTGGGCCAGACCAGGTGTACCCTCGGCTAGTGGAACATTGCCAAAAAAAACATGGAAAATCCAAGAACATCTCCCATGTCCATACGTTAATGTACATGTGTATATTATATATAATACATACATATGCGCATACATGCGGATATAAATATTACAACAATATACATGTATATATAGAAAGTATCTACATATATATATACACACATAGAATGGTCTATACAAATTTTGTGTTTATTCCATAGTGTTGTGTTAAACACAGTCGTTTTACATTTTCCAACGGTGGGAACAAAGAACATTGATCATCCCCAAATCAGGTCAAATGTAAAATGCTGCTTTCGCATCAACTCAGTGGAAGCTGTTAGTGTTTTCAAACACAACCTTCAAAACAACAGTATGTAATATATATATATATAATACATTATATATATATTATGGAATTATATAAATATTATATGATTATATATATACTATAAAATTATATGTTATGTAATGTTTCACTGGCACACACACACACCAGGCCCACAGCTAGTCTTAGATACCCATCGATGGCGACGTCGTGATGAAGCTCTGAGCAGGAAATAAGAGATAACAAATTAATGCTTAGTAAGCTCTTCCCCCTAAAAACAAAACACACCCCAGAAACCGTGATTTTTCACGGTTTAGTAGGGAACACATATTCGGGCCCATGCAGGTTGTGTTCAATATTAGGGGGTGGTATCAACTGGCCTATAAACCAATATCTACCATTCATTAATTCCCAAGAAGTCTAAGGTAAGCTGTTACTGACCAACGAGCCACTAGCCACCAATCATAATTTTGAGCACATTGTCCATCTATAATTATGGATATTATACCAGTAACTTTTCTGATTTCTACTTATTATACAAGTGCCTACCGTTACTATACGAACATATTTTTCAGTGTCATCCAGCAGCCTTCAACGCCGCCATTTTGTCCCCGCTTTCCGAGCTGAGAGAAATCCTGCAGAGATTTCCTCGGAAGAAAAGGCGAAGAATTTCAGGTGACCATTCCTGGCTCATGGACTCAGCCCAAAATACCTCAAGTACTGTGAAGGGTGGGTCTAAGTTGACACCCTTATCAAACATCATTTTGTGTATATTTCACCGTATTTTTCACAGTAAAAACATTTTTTAAACCCTTCTATAAACAGGTGACTGGGTTGAAATTGGATTATTATTGTACTGATCAAGCTGCATCACCAGCCACCGCTCATAATGGGATCCCCGTTTTCGTTCTCTCCCGCCGAGCCACACAGAGCCGCACCGCAAGAAGCTCGTCTTCGCCGAAGTCGCGCGCGTCCTCGAAGCTTTTCCTGGAAGATCTGAAGAAACTCACTTCACTGAGCCGATTGACATGTCCCAGAATTGTTTTTAGCTTCAAACTACCCCACCTTAAAACAAACCGTTCTGAACAATGCCCTGCACTCGCCTCCACTTTCAAAACATTTCAAAACGCTGCGAATCGCCACTTCTATCAGACCCCCTTACATCCTCAATGACGTGCATGTTCGGGTTTTGACCAAAAGTTAAGAGGATGTAACCATCAAAATGGTGGCATTTTTTCCAGTCGTTGATCATTGGATGGGTTTCTGGGAAAAACTGCAGGACATGTGCATGTTTTTACCATCAAATTGATGAGGTTCCATGTGCTTCCCCTAAACAAACCACTTCTAGGCATGGAGCAAATGTACCAAAGTCTAGCATTCTAGGGGGTTCAACTCACATGTTACGTTCCCATATTTTCCCCTGTCACCCTTTTGAAACCGCCGAGATCGGCCGAGCTTCAACACATAGGACTCAGGCAAGCGCAATGGCATGGACTGCAGGCCCTGGTTCTTGAGGCAATCGAAGAAGTGAGCCTCCAATGGCTTGCACCTGCAAGATGGCCGCAGCTGTTTTACATAGAAAAAACACGAATGGAAATTTATGGAACTAACTTGAAATAACCAGTCAACTAACCATAACTATGGACCCATGGAAATAACAATTCTGGTATCAATAACTATGGAAATTTATGGGAAATTTACTCATCTATACTAGCCATTGATAAGCTGCAGCAGCTCATCGAAGGAAGTTTAGAAGTTAAACTTCTGATAATATGGACAGATGGAAAAGCACAGGTGGGAAAAGTCAGAGAAGAGAAAGCGTCAGAAGAAAGAAGATGCAGTTGAGTCGCGAAACAGTGTGATTTTTTCCAATGCTTAGGGGCTCCGGGGGGTTGAAAAGTAGGCTCGCTCAAAATGCTAAAACACCTCATTCTTGGAGCACTCTTGGAAGTTGAGATGTGGCAAACGTGAACGCCGCTGTGGCGCCAAGCACATTTATAATAAGATTGACTTTTACTGGAAGGAGTCATTTAAACAAACGTTTATGCCAATAATTGTCATCAGTATGCATCTTGTACTAGCTAGTTACTTAACTCCAGTTTTTTCCAGTTATTCATGTCCAGTTATTCATGTTAGTTGCTTGCCATCAAACATATTCACACATAATGAATTATATCTGGTTGGTGGTTTCAATCCCTCTGAACATATTAGTCAATGGGAAGGATTATCCCATATATTATGGAAAATAAAAAATGATCCAAACCACCAACCAGATATAGTTGGATATACATGTTACTGGCATTTATTAAATTTGACAATAAATATATGAGTAGTGATGACCTTTTGGGATGATGGATGTACATGATGTACATGACACATCCATGGCTTATTAGTTCGTCATATATTTTTTCGCCAGTCAACATGGTTGATGTGGCTCCGCCAAGGCTCCCGGGATTCCTGGGATTCATCGAAAGGTCTACGAGTCAAAGCCAGAGCAATTCTCTGTTGGGATGGAGGGATCGGGCCAACGGCAGGCTATGGAACCTTCTCGAATTCATCATGTATTGCAAAAAACCAAGCCACCTTCACCTACTCTTGAGCAGCTGGTTCCAGTACTGTTAAACACTGTTAAACCATTATTTTTTTTCCTGCTGATGCTTTCAAAACATCTCAGCAGAATAAAAAACGTTGGTGAACGAGTCTCATCATCCCAATTAGGATGGACAACATAAATAGATCATACACCAGCCAGCTTTCATAGAGATTTGGGGTCACTCGTCTGGATAGCAATGGGCCGGTAAAATTTGTCATGGATATCCGTAAACCTTTTTAGGGGTGATAATGTATCTAACCCTCTAAACTCGACAAACAGCATCAAACATGGGGTTCCAAGAATGACTTTACTAGTAGGTTCCTAGATGTCATTTCTGATGGCGAAATCTCCCTGTCAAATGGTGTTTAACCGGCATGTTTGATGGTCACAAGCCATTATTTCTTTAGCTCAACCCCCATGTCTTCCTAAGGTCCTCATCATCTCAGAGTGCCTTGGAAGATAGGCCAGGAAGGCAACGTTGTTCACCTGCGGAGTACCCACCTATTTCCCATAGCTGCCACAATGGGCCAGCTGAGTGGATTACAACGGCATTGAGCTTACCACATTCAACAGATCTTCCTCCCACACCACCAGGGCCTCTGGGCCCACCTGTTTTTGCCGCGCAGCGCGATCCGCGTCCGCACCCAGGGCGGCATTGAGTGTCAGCGCAAGGGGGGCTACGCTATCTTCCACCCAGTTGGTGTACAAACAGTCGCTGATGATCACCACTTCTGCCTGCTTTGGAAATTGGATTTGCTGAAGGAACCCCCGCCCAAGTCCTCATTTCAAGCGGATTTCCATGGATTTCCCAAGTTGGAAGAATAGAACATCGTCTTCAAACCCAGGTTGATGGTTGAGAAATCGGCTTAAATGGGCTTTGGGGAAGAATGAGGTGATCCATGGATAGTATGATGATGATGATGATGATGATGATGATGATGATGATGATGATGATGAGAACAATATAGGCAAATGCAGCTTTATGGCTGAGGAACAATGACACTTTTAGATGGCTGGAGATAGTGAACTGGTAAGCACCTGGGCTACAAGCCATGAAATGATTTAGTGCCAGTGGGTTGTGAAATGTTGTGAATGTGGATTCTTTTGCAGCTGAACCCGATCGAACTTTATGTGCTTAAACCACCAAGCGAGGTTTGTAGCTGACATTCCGGGAAAATTCTTTCGGAATTTTCGTGACCTATAGGACCCATCTTATCCCATCTTTTAAAACGACTCAGGATCTTTTAAAGCAACTCAGGAACTCCTGATATAATTTCCTTGCACCCTTCCCATACATCTGCTGTGCTCTTACAGGGAGCAGCTCTTACAACCAGGGAACCATCAAAAACCCATCTGTCTTCCTACGTTTGATGGTCGATTCTAGTATGGAAACCCGTGAGGTTTATAAATCTCCACGTTTTTGTTCGGCAACCTCGGACATCCGCAGCATATCTTTTGCGCAAACCAAATGATTTTGTTGCTACAACATAAAACGACTAATAATAATATATACCCTCTGGTAAACTAACATAACTATGGAAAATCACCATTTTTTACGGGTAAATCAACTATAAATGGCCATGTTCAATGGCTATGTTAGTTTACCAGAGGGTAATCATCATATTTTCCATTTTGTTTGCCATTTCCAGCTGTGTCCCCTTGTAAGACACCTGCATACAATATTGCCGGGCATGCAAAATCCGATGGTTGCTTATGTTACCTGTGTATATATTGTTCCTATCTTTTTTATTCACTTGTGAAATTCAAAATTCAATGTGTTGATGAGTGTTGATGAGTGTTGATGGCTCAATCCCACAAAGTGGTTGTTTACATCCTATTTCAAACCAAAATATCACTGTGTTGTCACATTGTTGAATCATACATCATATTCCCATGATATTCCGACAAAATCCTTGGTTTTATCCCCCAGGACTTGTAGGTTAGAACATGTTAGAGGCTCCAAAAAAACAAATCATTCCCACATATTTTGGGTGATGAGGTGCCAGCCAGGTGGAATCAGGCCAGGAGGCATAGGGTGTGCCAAAATGCTCCTTACATATCATCTTTACAGCATCGACATCGCCCCAGCCCAACGCTGCAGCATCCTGGGCTGTTTAAAGATGGAAAGTAGGCTATAACCCATCAAAAACTCATGGTATTGGCGTGCAAAACTACTTGGATGTGCATCCCTCCTAAACACACACACAGATATATATATATTTATACATACATATATATATATATATATATTTAATAATTTATACACATATATATATATAACATCTAGAAGTGGTTTAGTGATGATTACTATGGTAGTTATTACCCACTATCCCCATTCATGGATGGTTAATAAACACTTCTTGTTGTGCTTCCCTGGTAGCCTTGCGTCCCCAGGGTTTGAACAAACAATCTCCAAAATTGGAACCTGTTATTATTGGCGGCATGATTCACCACTCAAAAAAATACAGGTAAAAAAATAGGCAGATAATTCCCAGATATCTTCCCAGAGAAATGTCCAATTTCATGAGAAAAATATCAGTTTCTTATGGCTGCTTCAATCAATGCGAATTTCAGGATCCTAAAATGGAGGTACTGTACCATATAAGAACATATTTTGTGAGGATATTCCCTTACAGAGGCCTGAAAAATAGACCAAAAATATATGATATATATGGTACCTCCAATCAATCAGCTCCTAAGTCCTGGCCATTGATCTGGGTAAATTAGAATAATTCACTAACCTGAATCTTGCGGCCATTTGGGGATGATTTCCCTTAACCATGATTCCAGGAGAACAGTGAGGTTGTTATAATTTACCCAGATATATCCATGTAAAAATCGTATATGGTCATATGTTTATATATATATATAACATATATGTATATAACATAGAAATTAATATGAATATAACCATATATCATAACATATATAGAAATTTAACATAGAAAATGTTATATACATATATATAAAATGGTCGTTATAATTTACCCAGATTGATTCAACTCGTCTCGTCCCCACCGTTGGCAGTCTCGTCTCCGCCGCGGCGATGCCATGCAGCGCGTTCCGCAGGTCCTTGAGGCGATGCGGCAGATCGGTGGCCAGCAGCTTCCGCGGCTGGGAATTCAGCGCCAGAAACTTCGCCAAGGATCCTGACCGTCCATGGTCCATAAAAACACCGTGGATTTATAGAAGTAAAACCATATTCGATAAATAAATAACATCTATTATAATAACATTATAAATGGATCTCCAATATTCTAATAGATGTAAGAAGCCAAAAAAAATCTAGTTGTTATTTATAATGTTATTATGTTCATGATTATTACTGGTCTTGTTGTATATATGTAACTATTACATGCCATGTATGCATGTAATTTTATGTAATTGTATGGAATTGTATGTAATTGTATGTGTATAATTATATGTATGTAATTGTATGTATGTAATTGTATGTATGTAATTGTATGTATGTAATTGTATTTATGTAATTGTATCTATGTAATTGTATGTATGTAATTGTATCTATGTAATTGTATGTATGTAATTGTATGTAAATGTATGTAATTGTATGTAGTTGTATGTAGTTGTCTGTAATTGTATGTGATCGTATGTAATTGTATGTAATTGTATGTATGTAATTGTATGTATGTATGTGTGTATGTATGTGTATGTATGTGTATGTGTATGTGTATGTAGGTGTTTGTATGTGTATGTATGTGTATGTACGTGTATGTATGTATGTGTATGTATGTGTATGCATGTGTATGTGTATGTGTATGTGTATGTATATGTGTGTATGTATCTGTATGTATATGTATGTATATGTATGTATATGTATGTAAATGTATGTAAATGTATGTAAATGTATGTAAATGTATGTATGTATGTATGTATGTATGTATGTAAATGTATGTATGTATGTATGTACGTATGTATGCATGCATGCATGCATGTATGTATGTGTGTAATGTATGTATGTATGTATGTATGTGTATGTATGCATGCATGCATGCATGCATGTATGTAATTGTATGTATGTATGTATGTATGTATGCATGCATGCATGCATGTATGTGTGTATGTGTATGTGTATGTGTATGTGTATGTGTATGTGTATGTGTATGTGTGTGTATAGGTGTGTATGTATGTATGTATGCATGTATGTATGTATGTATGTATTTATGTATGGATGTATGTATGTATGCATGCATGCATGCATGTATGTGTGTATGTGTGTATGTGTATGTGTATGTGTATGTGTATGTGTATGTGTGTATGTGTATGTATGTATGTATGTATGTATTTATGTATGTATGTATGCATGCATGCATGCATGTATGTATGTATGTATGTGTGTATGTGTATGTGTATGTGTATGTGTATGTGTATGTGTGTGTATGTATGTATGGATGTATGTATGTTTGTATGTATGTATGTATGTATGTACATCAATATGTGGCATGTTCTGCCTCTAGAACTCAAGGTTTTCTCTTGCCATTTATGATCCAAACTACCAACGTTCCTGGTGACCTCAACATCCACCATACTTCATTCTGAGATTATCAGCCAAAATGTTGCCATAAAATAAATGAAACATGCCCTGTTCCTAAGATAAATCACTCCCAAAAACCTCCCTAATGCTAAACACCCCTCAAGAAACCATGGTTTAACAAGGGATTTACACATATTTGGAAGAATTTAGGGGGTGTCTAGCATTAGGGCGATGGGATTAGTTGGTGTCCCAACCATTATCATTATGCTCCATCTATGGAATATCTACCCACATAACTGGCCCATTTTAATATGGTAAATGTTGGTAAATATTCCAGCACCAAGGAGCATTGGGGCAAGATATAGCAAGGTATACCATCATGAACTACTATACACCCGTAGCCCAAGGATTAAAGGATCTCTAAGTATGTGATCAGTTAGGGCATCAGTTAAAGCAAGCTATAGAAAGTCCCCAAGGACAACGGATGTGATCAGTTTGGACCAAGCTTCCGTTGCCCGCTCCCAGCTCCAGCACCGACTTGTTGTGCAACAGCGCCTTGGTCCGCGACTGTGACAGGTGCGCCATCAACACCACCGCTGGGGGCCACGTGCAATCGCCCGTGGGGTCTTGGAGACCCGGAAACCAACCCACAGCCGCCTGTCCTGAGGCCACTGCGGCCACTGCTTGGAGGACGAAAAAAATGGGCATGTACACGTGGAAAATCATCTGTGAATGGAGGTTTTAAATGTGAACATCCTGGATGTAACTGGTTAGGAACTGGGGCTTTTTCAAGCCATTTATAGATGGGATAAGCGACGAAATTACTAACAAAAGTTACTAATTAAACAGTTACTAAGTTGGATGATCCTCCAAGCAGGTTAGGGCTGCTTGGGGGAATGGCCAAGGGTAATGGCTCGGGGTTAAGTTGAGGCAGGTTCTGAAGAACCTCAGGGGTTGTCCTGCTCAAGTCTGCCTGATCACAACAGTTCATTATAATTGTGCCACGGTCCTTGCTTTCCCCAGGGCCTTGGTAGAAATAGGACCATACCCAGCGGGCCCCCTGGCACCCCCTTTGATAATTGACACAACTCTTCAAGAAAATAATTCTGAGGCTTAAAGTTTCAGGATGTTCAATGGTAATTCCATGAAAATCCACAAAACCCTAAGCGTTCGAGCCTTCAAGCGTAGGGCCATCCCAAAGAATTGGCGAATCGGAAAGCTCAAAGGGGTACCCAGCACTCGAATTCGAGTGTGCCAGTGTGCCACCCAGCAAAAAACTAAATAACGAAACAACAGCGTGTTTTTCACGGCTGATTTTCCCCACAAAATTCACCCATGAAAACCACTGCAGGTCAGATTCCAATAGCCATCCGGGCTATTAACGCGAAGGTCAAACGTATGATTTGTGAAACGCAGCTTTGGCGTTCACAAATGGCAACAGCTGCAAGGTGGTAACTCACAACTAGGGTTTGTGGCAATTCTAGCTAATGTTGGTAAAACAATAATAAACCACCGATTTGGGAATGGTTTATACCACCTATTTATGGTGATTTGCGGGGTGGTTTACTATTGTTTTAGCCACATTATGTCACATTATAGTATTCACGGGGCTTCTGAACCAACATATAACTGGGGAGCCACCTTGTACAGAAACCCCAGGTTGAATGTTTGAGGGCTCCTCTGCCATGCCCAGGCCCAAATACACGCAATGGAGACAGTATTCACTGTATTCACAGATATTCAACATTCAAAGTGCTTACAGAACGAATGAAAACGTTACGTAAGACATAGCCTGAAAACTTTACATAGATTGTTGGGCAGTTCGATTTCCCTACAGTGATCATCATATTAATGATGACTTATTATGGAGGCACTTCAGTTTGGAAGCTGCTGCGTTGTGATGTCCAATCTTTGCCGCTGTGCTGCTGGAAACGCCTTCGGGATATGGTCAAAATTGGGCAAACATCCTGCCGGTTGAATCAAAAATAGCTGGGATTTATGGATGTTCATGCCGCCGAAATATATTCTTTAAAGTAGGTTTTGATACATCCCCACAATGAATACCCTCAGTTAGGGGCCCAAGGATAAAGATCCATGATCGTGCATCCAATACTAAGCCAGTCATGATGATTTTATCATCACTGTGGCCGGTGGAAACTGAATCTTCATTGTGATCCTGCAGGATAAATAACTTGGGGTTCATTGCACCTAAAAAATATCAAGTTGACATGGGACCCCAATTACTGTTCAGCAATCCTGGGCTGACCTTCTCCGGCCAGTTGGTGACATCCCCAGTTAATGAATGTTAAATCACCGTTTATAAACAACCAATAATGATGGATTAATATTGACATTATACAGTCTGCGGTTGGCATTGGAATCCGCAGTTCCTGAGTTCATATCCAGTATGGGAATCCCCACAAGGTGGTGCCCCCCAAGTTATGTCCGTTGGTCTGTAAACCCCAAAAACTAGCTTTCACGACCTGAGGCACCACCTTGCAATATATTCCATTATATCCCCATGAATCAACTATACCCCATCAAATGGTTGGTTTACCCCAAGGAACCCCTATACCACAAACCCGCCATCTTCTTATTTTTTGCTTGGTTCATGAAGTTCAACTCCCTATATTAATGTTGGTGCCTAAATCAGCGATCCATTTTGTACACCAACCATGCTACTGCCCAACCACTTTTCCCCATTGGAACAGGCTTTGTGGTTGGATAATCCCCACTGCTTCCGGCGTCCGACTCCGTGGACTCCTTCTTTCGCTTGGCGAAGGCCGCGTTGCTACGCTCCAAGATGCGCACATTCAACACTTCCTCCTGGAGAATGACCCAAAGCGATTTGGGATCCACAATGCCAGGTCCTAGCTTCGGGAGAAATGCAGGTCGAGATATGCATAAATCTGTGCCAATACAAACTTGTAAATACATACATTATATATATACATATACATACTTTGTTCTATTTGTTCAAGGCTGCTATATATATATAATAAACATTAATGCCCATCCTGCAGCAGATAGAATATCAACATTTCAACTAATAACATTCAAATTTGTTTGATGGCTGTTTGACATAACCATATATTCTATCTACTCCAGGATGACTATATGCACATGATTAATCATTTAAGCATATTGTAACATGGACAAGACACGATGACAATAGTCCATCCCTGCCCCCCCCAGTCCATGCTCATGGGATCTTTCCGGAAGCCAGAGGACCAGCCGCAGGCGGATTTCATGGCATCACCTGCTGGAATTCAGGGGACCATCTTGTGGTAAATTGATGGGGATACAAGTATAGATAAATCAATGCAAACACCCGGATACATATATATATATATACATATGCCATATATCTATATATTAATGATATTCCAAGAATCTTATTGATTCTTAGTGTAATCACTTGGGGTTTATCATGTTATCATCATCTAGAAATGGATCCGACAAACGAGTTCACCATGACGCAGTTCATTAATGGGAGATTTAGCCAAGTGAACAAGGCTGATACTGTGGACAAAATCCTGCACCAGGTAATTCGTGGTAACATAATTCAACACTGTAAATTTCATGGGTTATAACAAGATGTTTACCATCTACCAACTGCGATATCCCAACCCACTATATGGCTGATATAGACTTAGGGAGCACCATTAAGTCCTGAGGCCCCTGACAAAAAAGTCCGAAGTGACACCATGACTTTTTCCACCTCAAAAAACTACCCGACTAACGTGGTAAACCCAACTTCATAAACCATCCCCAAGTCATCACCATTTTTATTGCTTTTGTAAACCATCCCCAAAAGGTAGGCTTACTATTGATATTATTGCTGGTTGGTGGTATACCTACCCCTCTGAATTCGTCAGTTGGGATGATGACATTCCCAATAGATGGAAAAGTCATAAAAGCCATGTTCCAAACCACCAACCAGATTGGGTTTACCACATGACGAATCATTTTCCATTTTGTTTAAACGTCATGGGCTACGAGACAACTCGTCAACTGCTTGGGACCAACCAGCTGGTTCGTGATCAATTCCTATTGCTTTTCTCCAGTCTTGTAAGTCTATTGAAATCTATCGAATATAATGATGAACAATCGAAGATTCTGACTAAAAATCGTTATATCATATATCACAATATCACATGCATATATATATATGTGTGTGTATATATAAATAATTAATATAATATATATATATATATATGTGTGTGTATGTTGTTTTTTCTATTGGTTTACTGAAAACTTGCCATATTCCGGGAAGTTCCGGTCCGTCTCACAGCCGACGGCTGCACTGCTGCCGCCTGTGACGCTCTGCAGGGCATCATGGGAGGACAGCCATTGGCCCACCTGGACATGGAGGATTCGGTGGGCAAAACAACACGTAAAAGGTCACTTCTACCAACCCCATTGATATTCTGCTTGGTGGTTTTAACATGTTTTAGCCATCTTGAAAAATATGAGTTCGTCAGTTGGGATGATGACATTCCCAATATATGGAAAAATAAAATGTTCCAAACCACGAACCAGCCATTTATATTTATATACAACTGTGCTAGTAGGATCTGGCTTTAACTGTATACATCTGTATACCTTTTTGGAGCCTGCTACAGTGTATTATGAAGCCTTGCTTTTCTGTTGACACCAAAATAGCCCCGGGTTCCAAGAGGCATATGGGAAAATCGTAAGTTTTAACCCATCCACAGTATCAATGATAGTGGGCCATAATGGTTATAGCGGGATGTATATTCTGTATCAAGGGTTTTATCTAATTCTGTGGGATTTATTGGTAATTGTAAGAAAGAACTATGGAAAATCAGATCGGTTAAATTATACATATGTGCGTATATCCTTGCAATTTCCATCCATATCCCACTATAATCCATTACAACAAGAAGGCTGTCTTGCTGAGTTCTGCATTACCATCAACAAGCCGATTGAAACCTTCTCAGCAAACCTTTGCAAAGGTACCCCTCAAGAGAACTGATCTTCCTGGGTTATAAGCCCCGCCGAACCAGCATTGAAGGCTGTCACGACATAGGCTACGCGTAAATCTGCTGGTGAATCATGAGTGCCTATATAGTTGGTTTTGTGATGTTATGATATGTTATAATCATGATACGCCATGAAATTCCAAGAAATCCAAACAAAAATATGCTAAATCATGTGTATTCATGTTCTTAAATCGAATATCCTACGGTAAATCAGACGTGATTTACTGAAAACCCCGCCATTTTTGATGTGGATTTTCCAGCCCGGGATTCCCCCCGTTTCAACGGGCGCACCTCTTGTGGGGTACTGGGCGGCTTCACGGCTGCCTTGCTACCTGGGATGGGAGAACTCATAAGATTTCAATAAGACATATAACCAGCTAGTCTATATCTGTGGTAAATGGCGGTTTCACAGATTTAGGGCAACATACAACCAACTATCCAGCTATCTGATATGTGAGTCCATCCGATTTTATGGCCTCTCTACCACCAATCAAGCACTATATTATACGAGTATTTTAACAGGAAAGATGATGATGAACCAGTAGATTTTGAGATGTGCACCGTTTTTTTTCTGGGGAT